TTGGAGAGTCGCGGGATGAGCTCGACCAGGCAGACTTCCCAAACTTCCCCAAACTTTTGGGGGTGGTTACTTTGTTCTTCCTGTGTTCGCCAGGTCAGTGGCAGACTGAATGCCGTGGAAAGCAGGCCAGAGCCAGAACTTGTCATTCAGAGCTCAGTATCTTCAAATGGTTGAAAGGCACTTTGTCAGACATTCCTTCAAGGCTCCGAAGCGATCCTCTTCGCACGCGACATCAGCAGCTGAGCAGTGACCTTAACGACCTTTGCTCGGCTCGTTCAATATTTCACTGAGTTTCGCGTGAGCTCTCGCCCTGCTCTGCTAGATCACGCGCGCCGCGAGCTAGAGAACCAGCTGATCCAACTTCGTGCCTGAGTGGCAAAGTGTCAGAGTGGTTTTCAGAGGGGGGGGGGAGTTTTTTCAAAGTCACGGAGATGCCAAGATCTATCCAGGCCAGGAAGTTCAGCAAGGGTCGATGAGCATCCCGGAGCAGCGTGAAATCCTTCTGTCGAAGGCGGCCTTGAGACAGCACCGGGTCGTCGTTGAATCGAGCCTGTGATGCAAGCTTTTGCTGGTGAAGGTCAAGAATGACAATGGGGAGATCGTAGCAGCGGAAAAGAGCAACAGCCGGGGGCACAGCGCATAAAGTACTCGATGCGACTCATCTTCTGCGCTCCCGGAATCAAGCAGATGCAGCGAAGTCAAAGGCGAGTTGAAGCTCGACAACGAGCGGCTGCGAGCCCAAATCAAAGAGGCCCTTCCCCACTTTTACACGGTTTGAAGTTTCGATTGAAGTCTGACTACTCAGCTTCATGGCAATTGCCAGGTCCAAGCAGACGCTCAAGAAAAGAAGGCCTTTCCAGCTTTCTTTTCAGCATCTTGTGGCTGACGACTTCGAGAAGGTTTCTTCACACCGAGCCAATCAAAGCTGTAGGACGAGAGCAGCGATCAACAGAAGTACGAGATCCTCTTTACCAAGGACTTGGATACCACGACTCGAATTCTCAGGTGTTAGACCGATAGTCGGCTCTATGTTCCGCGGCCACCGTGGCACTGCGTCGACCTTCGAGCTCCTACACAGTCAGTCTGGGAGTCTAGGCAGCACAGACACCTGCACCCTGCAGAGCGATGCGAGGATCAAGAGATGACGGCCTTCATCGAGGGCTTCGCCGACAGCAAGGTGCAGACCCCCTGCCACGCGTTTTTTTCCCCTTAGGGACATCTTGCAATATCTTGCGCAAACATGTCAGCCTGAAAAGTTCTTGGCGACAAATCGTCATGCCTGAAACCATGAGAAACTTATTTTATGTGGCGGCCCCCTGCCTGAGTTGCTCTAGGCAGAGGAGGAGAAGAAGATAAAAGAGAAGCAGGAGGTGCACTCGACAAGCCTTGTCTGAGCCAGCTCTGGAATTACGTGAGATGCTGCGAACCATTGCGAACTCCACTGTGAACTCCACTGTGAACTCTTTGCCAGAGCATTGAGCGGCTCCTGCAAAACATCTCCAAGAGCCTGGATCTGCCGACGGATGCCGCGTCCCCAAGGTGCTTCTTCCGCCGGATTGCTCCATTGCCTGATGATGCTCAGGTCACTCCAGAATCTCATCTCAGAGATATGGAAGACGAGCCGGGGCCTGAACTTTCCATGCTCTGCCGGGACAGACGTGGAGATCACAAGGCATAGGGCCGTCACGAAAAGAGCGCAAACTACTGAAACTGATCCTGCCAACTCCCGAAAAAACAAGTATTCAACTTGTTCGGCTGGTTGTGCGCAGTGTGCCTCTGCCCTGTGGTGTAGAATTCTACCTGCCATTCTTCTGGGATCCGAAGTCCACTGCTGTTCAGGCTTGGAGTCCCAGCAATCTTCATATTCAGATAGGAGATGCCAGGAAGGACACGGGCAGGAAGAGAAGTATCAGGTTCCCAAACTGACGGACTCACCTGATCGGTGTCAACGTCGGAGGTACAGAGGGATGTTGGGTCTTCTGACATTGTGAGGCTTGTATCTGTGCGCTTCGAGCAAGAAAGCTGGCAGACAACCTTTGACCCCAAGCCCTTAAAATGGGCCTGCAGCGGGCACCGAGTCTCTCCAAATACCACCGTCACGTACAGTGCCAGACTTGTTGAGCCACTGCGAAAGCATGCCTAAGGCTGGACTTCAAGAGCCGGCAGTTGCAGAACTCCGAGACCACTCAGCAAGGGCCCTGAGTTTTTTCCGTGTTTTTGGACAAAACCTGCAAGGGCGGGGGGTGTGCGAGATGTGTTAGGAGTGTGACGGTGTGTATTTGCCGCAGTTTGCGTGAGTCGTTGTCGCGGCGGTCGGGTGCGATGCAGCGCTTAGTAGATGCTTCGCTGTCTAAGGGTCTAAGGGTCTAAGGGGGTTCCCACTCTTTAATGTCCGAATGTTCGATCGCCTCGCTTGCAGGAGCCGCCTGGAGGGGGAGCTCGCGAAACGCCACAGCCCCTGGAAGATCTGCCAACTGCCAACTGCAGGGACAGCATCTGGCGACAGAATTCAGATTTCAGAAGCTTTTTGGAGCGGTCTTGGGGCGCCAAGGCGAAGGAGAGCTCGAGAAAATCGAGAGCCTCGATGTGAAGATATCCCTAGAGCTTTCACAGGCCAACGCCACATGCGGAAAAGGGGCCAGGTGACTAGGTGTATCAGGGGTCTCCCTACTACTACCCCCCTCTATACTACGCCCCCCGAAGTTCCCCTCTTAAATCACCTCAATTCAGCCGAAATATCACTAAATAGCCTTAATTACGGGGGGGGGACCCAGAGTATAGGGGGGGTGGTAGGGGAACCCCCATGAGTGTATGACTCCACAGCACCTGACAGGTGGAGGAGAAGATGAAGCAGTATGAGAAGGCATGGAACTCAGCCTTCGGTGACTCTATGTACTGGTGTCGAAGAAGTGGTGCCCTGACTGATGCTGATGACGTTCCTGCGTGGTAAACAACAAAAGTGCTCCCTCAACATTTCCATCTCTTCAACTTCGCAGTGGTCGCAGGAGATGGCCGAGAGGTACGACAAGATTGAGGACATGAAAGCGCAAGGCCCTTTCGAGACAAAACTTCAACTGGCCGCAGCCTTTCCGAGCTCTTCCATGTTCTCGGAAGGCGCTCTGGAGCTGCAGAAATTAGAGGAGTCAAAGAAGAGCCTGGAGGACCTCTACCGGCACCACGCTGGGCCATGAGACGGGCTGCCTTTCTGTTGAGGGTTTACGGCGCGTGTTTTTGGGGATTCGGAGCGGTCCTCTTTGGGAACCAAAAGTCTTCGAAACCAACGCAACGCAGATTTGGGATCACATGCAGATGCTGCCTTCTAAGTACTCGGGTCCTATCTCAAAAGTCTCGTTGCTGAAGGAAAGATCTGTTGCTCTGCGCCAACAGGCCGTGTTCCTGGGAAGCCGTGCGCACGGGAAGCCAAGAGCTCCCTGCTCAGGTCAACTTCATTCGGCTCCGATATGATAGCAAGCGCCCCGCACTTGGTGCGGCTTTTTGGAATGAACGGCTGTGGCCTGCCACGGTTTGGCCTTGGGGTGATTTTGGTCGCCTTTGGTATGCATTGCCATTGAAGACCTTTTCGTGAGGTCAGCAGCTGCAAGATGACGAGACAGCAGCGAACCTTGAGGCTGTGAGAATGACCGTGGTGCTGATGTGTCTTTTTGTGCCTTCATACCCACCGCACTTATTGCGCAGGGGTACGAAACAAAAATCCGGCAATTCGGCCAGTTCGTGCCCAAGACGAAACAAGTAAGGCATGCCTTGCACCAGAAGCCGCCACGCACGCAATGCGAGCCATTCCACATCACTCAGCTCATTCAGCCCGTTTATGCCCTTTTTGTCTCTTGGTTCTGAGGACCTTGCACACGCTTCGCACCTTCATTATGCAGAAAACGTCAGAGCCGGCTTCCCCAGCTTTGCATTATTGTGCAATCGTTGCAGATTCGTGCCTCGCAAAGTCTTAACGTGGCAGAGCGAAAGTGCCGACGGCTCCTCATTCCCTGCAATGCATGGTGCTGACAGCTTGGCGAGGTCGGATTTCCGCGCAGAGATGGCCAGCTGCTTGGACGTTGCGGGCCAGCTGAACAAGATGCTGCAGGCAGAAGCGAGGGACCTTCAGCAGAGAGGCATTCCCTCCTCACTCCCTGATTCTCCACTCGTTTAGTGCTCTCGGTGTTTCAGTTGTTCGTCTTGACAGCTTTGACCTGCCGCATGGAAAGACCGCATGGCTCTGTCTCTGCCCTGTGTCTCGCTCAGTCTCGCTCAGTCTCTGTGTTTTGCACACAAGCGGCGCTGAAGTTGGAAAGGATGGCGCGCTGCGGCCGCCACCCCCTGTCTGAAGTGCGAGGACTGCGGATCCGGTTGGGTTCAGCGGCCAAGCCAGTACACGCGCGAGTAAGACACGGCACGGCAGTGGTTGTCGCAGTTTGCCTTGGCCTCGTTCTTCGGGGCGGTACCATGGTCAGGTTGGTCCCGTGCTGCGGCCCTCTGCAAGTTGAGAGCTCCTTTCTGTGCAGAGAAGGGGCCCCCCAGCACAGGAATCAGACAGCAAAAAGCAGACCCAAAAAGTCAGAAGTGCAGGGACCCCGAAGGAGGCTCCTGCCGTGAGTCGTGGCCAAGCTGTAGCTCGAGTCGCGTAAGGTGTAGAACATTGTAGAACTAGAAGGCACAAATACAGAACAAAAGAGGCTGGTCAATCATCTTGATTTGTAAGCTTCCACGAATGAAGTCGATCGAGACTCGGAAAATTTGGGTGTCGTTTCCGACTTCATTGGAGCAGTGTGCTCTTTGTATGCTTTGCACCCGACAATGCATGCCCGAGACTGACCGCGGAACTTTGCATGAAAAAGGAGGAAACCACGAGGTTTTTCTGCATGTTGTTGTCGGGCATCTGCCAAGAAATAAAGCTTGTCTGAGAGCCTGCGTGAGCCCAGGCTTTTTGCCATCGACAATTTCCGACTTGAAGTTGACTCTTCATGTTTGAGCGCATGGTGCCGCAGGTGGTCCCTTTCTTGCCGCAGTGGCTCAGGAATGACCTTTTAAGCAGGGCACTTGGCCGGCGCCAGCCTATCCTAAACGCAGCCAAACCACGCCTTCCTTCACGTAGGCGAGAGCCGAGCTCAGGCGAGCGCTTTGTGACCGAGTGCGTCACCTTCTTCCAGGATTTGGACAAGGCAAGTCACTACTCAGTCACTATTTATCATCTTATCCTTAGGTGTATGCCCTCTTAAACGCAAGTGCATGGATCGGCACGTGTATGGGCAGGACAAGAACGGCACCCTCGAGCCCGAGGAGCTCTTCCCAATGGCCTGTGCACCCAACACCCAACAGGGAGCACCACGGAGCTCGAGAGCAATCAACAGAGTGCTTAGAATCTTAGAACAGTTGAGAGCAAAGCTTGGGGCCTTTTTTGGCGGGATATGTTTGCCACATTGAGGTGCGAAGCATGGCGGATGCTCACAGCACCTTGACCGCACTTCGACAGCCGGTCCAGAGAGGATCCCTTTGACAGTCATTGACTTGTCATTGACTGGCTGTCCAGGCATGGCGCTGGATCTGGATCAGCTGGGCTCCTAGAACTGTGGGACTTTCACATCAGTCTGAGATGACTCCGTACTTGCTGCAGTTTGCATATGTTTGATTGCGTTTATTTGCACCGACGTAGCAGTGCAGGCTGCGCAGTTTTCCCGAGGGAGGTATCGTTTCTTGTAGCTTCTTCTTGAACACTGGCAGGTGCAAGCGCTTCTCCCAAATTTTTGATGTCAACGGCGATGGCTTGATCGAGTTGGACGAGTGCCTTTGCTGTGCTCAACAAGCTTTGTGCCTGTTGTTCGTCGATCATGGACATTCGCCTTCACCATCAGGTTCGTCAATTTCTCTCGCTTCATGATTGTGATGTCGTTCCTGCACAGCCAGGCAGAACGTGTTGTGAGACCAAGCACCTTGAGAAAACATGGAACAAAGAGAGCATCTGCGTAGTTGGGGGGAAGACGTTGGAAGTTTCAAGGACTCCAGGTCTTAGACCCGGCTCTCTGCACAGGAGGGGCAGCTGACACTGTCGATTGCAATGGAGCCAGAGGTGCTTTGGCCACGCGCTTCTATGTGCCTCTAGTGCCAGCATCGCATGGGCCTCACATCCTAGCATCAGGCTAAGCTGGAAGTCTTGAGAGTGGGTGGTTGATCTACTTGGCAAGCATGGCTTTGTGCACTTACCGCTGCCGTCCTTGGACTGCCTTGTGTGCTGCCGTCTGCAGCCGTTCCTCGCCAAGGGCTCCTATGGTTTGTCTCCATTGCATGACAGCTTGATCATGCTGGCACTTGTTGCCCTCTCAGAGCCAGGCTCCAAAACAACGGTCCTGGCCATCATCCTGCGCACCGCTGCTGCGCTGGTCGCCCTGTACGCCTTCTTGCTGGGACTAGATCTGATGGGAAGTGCCTTCCTGGTGTTGGGCAGCAAGGGTGCCGGTGAGTTGTTTGCATCCACGGACAACCCTGTCAGCGGCCTAATGGTTGGTGTCATGGCCACTGTTCTTGTGCAATCCTCGTCGACGAGCACTTCCATCGTCGTCGGCCTTGTTGGTGCTGGTCAGGTTTCTGTACGTGATGCCATTCCAGTGATCATGGGTGCTAACGTGGGAACTTCAGTAACCAACACAATCGTGTCTATGGTCCACGCGCGCAGTGCTGCTGAGCTGGAGTACGCTTTTGCTGGGGCGGTCCTCCACGACATATTTAATCTGCTGACAGTGCTCACGGTGCTACCCACCGAGGCAATTGTGGCTGCCATTAGCGGTGAGGGTGGGCCTTTATACCGTGTTTCGAAGGCCGTCACAGAAGCTACGATGGGGACGGGAGCTCGCGATGTTACCTTCACATCTCCGACGAAGTCCATTGTGGCTCCTCTGACACGTTCGTTCCTCGATCCAAATAAAGATGTTCTGAAAGCCTTATCTTTGGGAGCACCGGTTCGCAGACACGTGCCCTTGGCAAGCGTAGGCCAATGCCCTCGCTCTCTGAACTGCGCTGAGTACTCCTGTGTCTCATCCTCCATGCAGAGGGCCTGGGAGAAGGTGGACCCGGACGGCCTTTCCTCGATTGCCAAATGTAATCATTTTCTGACATTTGCCGATGGATGTGCGCAACCAGCAGACTGCTACCTAGGAGCTGACAAGTTTTACAGGGTCTCGATTGAAGGTGGTCGCACCCTTAACTCTGGCATGTTCGCTCGCATCGGAGATGTTCCTGGTGGTATCATGGGGCTTCTTCTCTCCTTCGTCCTTATTGCCGCTTCGCTCTTCTGCCTCGTGAAGGTGCTACATGCCCTTGTGATTGGGCAGGCCAAGAGAATGATCATGCGCGCTATTCGGATGAACGACTACATCGCCTTGTTCGTCGGCTTTCTGATGACTTTGGTTATACAATCCAGTAGCGTGACGACATCCACCTTGATTCCTCTCTGTGCTATGGGGATTCTGCCAATTCATAAGATGCTGCCCTTAACCCTCGGTGCGAATCTCGGAACAACATGTACATCCATCTTCGCAGCATTGGCAGTGCTCAAGTTCGACAGTTTGCACATTGCTTTTTGCCACCTCTTTTTCAACAGCTTCGGAGTACTCCTGTGGTTCCCGGTGCCGCTTCTGAGGGAGCTGCCCGTAAGAGCTGCTTGCCAGTTGGGCTTCTACGCTTCATGTTGGCGGCTTGTGCCTTTGATCTACGTCTTGACGGTTTTTGTTGCTTGCCCCGCCGTGGGTCTGGCAATCTCCTTGCTGTACCGCGTTAGTCTTGTTGGTGGTGTCATCGTGACAGCTTTACTAGTGATGTCACTAGTTGTGTTTGTCGTTTGGTGGTGGAGGGGAGGTTGCTACTATGTGGTCTCCCAAGAGGTCCGCCGTGAGAGGGCAGAACGGAGACGGAGGGAACTGGCCGAGGATTCTCCAAAGGAGTCTAGGCCCAGGCCAAGTCCGTCCACGTCGACTCAGAAAGCAGAGCTGGCCGAGGTGGCCAAGGTGGCGGAGGTGGCGGAGGTGGCGGAGCTTCGGGATGTGGTCATCGAAAGAATCGAGCCGAGTAGGGCGAAAAGGGCTCACTTTGAGCAGGATCTTGACATTGGTTGTGAGGCCACTGGAGCTCCGGTGCCTGCAGAACATGTCCCGGCAAGGACAGCAACGCTCACGGTTCACACGCATACCGTAAAGGAAGGCAGTTTTTGGGTGTGAATTCTGACATTGCAGAGCGCCTTTGGGCCCGCGCGGCTTCGACTTGTCAGACACGGGTGGAGGTCATGGCGCCCGCCAACGTGGGCCAACCAAGTCTCACATCCTTTAACAACATCCACGTGGTACCAAGCCCTGTTCGCCCCTTGCCTCTAGAATGCTCCTTTATGCGTACACATTTGTATTTGTTAGGCCTTGGCACCAGTGTGGTACTCTTGCATCGATGCAGGACTTGCATCAGTCTAGTGACTCTAGTGACATCCAGTTGCCACATCGCATGTCGGCAGTCAACTGTCTCGTGTCACGCCCGTCAAACCGCTTTCCGCGGCCTTGCCACAAGTTGCGGCTGTGTGCTAGCTGGGTCGCTTCTCGTAACCTAGAGCCTTCGACCGGCAACTTGGGGCAAACAGGACAAAGAGAATCCTTCATTTCACGACCTTTCAAAGGACCTTTCATGTAAAGGTTACGCTCATCTTGTGATTTTTTCGATGTCTGCACAGGCGATGGCCCTGATGAACGGAGAGTTGCCTGGAGGCCTCGGAATGTTGTGCCGGTGCTGAGTTGTGCTCTGCAACACTTCTCCCAAGCATCTCTAAGAGTGTGCTGCGAAAGGCCCGCCTCCTGTCACGCCGCAGCCACATGCGGGAAGCTTGGTGGTTCTCGGGTTCTCGCTCGAAGCCCTGGAAGCTCCATTCCCTGCACGCGCGCGCTCGATCTTCACAGGATGTTGTCAGCCCGGGCAACATGAGCCCGTTGCCCATACTCAATACCGCAGAGGTCCGGAGCCTTCGGGAATTGAACTGCGTGGAACACAAAAACACACACACACACACACACACACACACACACACACACACACACACACACACACACACACACACACACACACACACACACACACACACACACACCACACACACACACACACACACACACACACACACACACACACACACACACACACACACACACACACACCACACACCCACACACACACACACGCACACACACACACAACACAACACAACACAACACAACACACACACACACACAACACAACACACACAACACAACACAACACAACACAACACAACACAACACAACACAACACAACACAACACAACACAACACAACACAACACAACACAGCACAGCACAACACAACACAACACACCACACCACACCACAACACACACACACACCGACAACAACCCAGCACACACACCGCACACACACACAAACCACACACACAACACACGGCACGCAGACGCACGCAAGCACGCACGGCACGCCCGCACCATGCACGCCGCACGCACCCACGAACACACACACACACCACACCACACCACAACACACACACCACACGCACAACACGCGCGCGACGAGCGGGCGGGCCACACTGAGCGCGCGCGGGAACACTGCGCGCGCGCGCGGGACACACGGCGCGCGCGCGCGGACACACGCGCGCGCGCGCGCCGCGGACACGCGAGCGCGCGGACACTTGCGCGCGCGCGCGCGGACACTTGCGCGCGTTCGCGGACAAGCGCACACGCACCCGCACGCGCACGCGCACGCGCACACGCACACGCACACGCACACGCACGCGCACGCACGCACGCACGCACACACACACACACAGAGGCAGGCACAGACACAGAGAGAGAGACACGGGGACACAGAGACACAGAGACACGGAGACACGGAGACACGGAGACACGGAGACGGAGGCACGGAGACACGGAGACACGGAGACACGGAGACACAGACATGCACAGACACACAGACATGCACAGACACACAGACACGCACAGGCGCACACACAGACGCACACAGGCGCACACAGACCCACACAGACGCACACAGACAAACACAGACGCGCACAGACGCACACAGACGCGCACAGACGCGCACAGACGCACACGGACTCACACGGACGCACACAGACGCACACGGACGCACACAGACGCGCACGAACACGCACACAGACGCACACGCACACAGACGCACACGCACACAGACGCACACGAACACAGACGCGCACGCGAACGCGCACGAGCACGCAGAACGCGCAACGCGCACGCGTACGCACACGCGTACGCGCACGCGCACGCGTACGCATGCACACGCACACGCACACGCGCACGCGAATGCGCACACGCACACGCACACGCACGCGCGCACGCGCACACGCACACGCACCCGCACGAACGAACACACGTAAAGCACACGCACACACAATGGGACGACAGCTGCATCATAGGAGCTTCGACAGTTCGAGATCCGCCGGGGCGTCATTGCTGGCAGGCAAGCAGTACCTGCCAGTGTGTAGAACGCTCATGCAGCATTTTAAGTTGCGCAGCATGTCCATACAGAAAGTAACCCACCTTCCACCATGCAAACGTGCCACTTGTGCCGGCCCTGGAGGGAAGCGCTGCTTCGCCAAAGGCTGGCAGCAGCTGGCCAGGCATGTCCGTGCGACCTGCATTCGACTCGAGCCGGCAAGAGGGACGGAGAGAGAGAGCAAGCAAGAGCTTCGGATGGTTTTGCTGATATGGGTAGGTCGTGACTCCTCCGGCAGGGGCTAATGCATCAGCACTCAGACTCCAAGAGCATCTTGTGCGCTGTGCAGATATACTGCAACATTCAGTATTTCGGTCAAGTTGCAGACTGTCAGGCGGAATCCACCAAAAGTACTTTTGGAGGTGCAAGCGATGAAGCACCATCAGAGGCACACCTGAGATGATCACAACAGCACCTGACCCGCGGGTGCCCGTCTTGTAGATGCACACTACCATTGCGGTTCGCTGTCAAGGCAAGTCCTTCGCGGGAGCCAGTGATGTTCAACATTGACGATGATGCTGGCTACCCGAAGATCACGCGGCCCACCTCTCTCGAGGCAGGGGATCCTGCACGATTGCCCAAGCCTCAACGCCGAAACGTTTGGGGCTTCAGAGCCAGGACTGGGAGCAGGGACTCGAAATGCTGTCGACGGCCGGGCAGACGCGAGATCGCGCAGCCAGCCTCAGGTCGGGTCAATGCAGATGCTTTCAAACATCTTTCTAACACCCACTCACCTTTGTCCTTCTGCCACAGGGCACACTGGTTGATGAACGGCGGGAAGAATTCTGGCAATTCTCCAGTCAGGAGGTCTTAGGCTTGTCAGTTCTGCCTTCAATCACGCCTTGCAAATGTACTGCGAAGCAGCTGTGTGCGCACGGTGGCTCATTGTTTCTTGCTTTCTGCCAGCACGTCTTAATACGTCTTACGCATCAGCTTTCACCCTTAGATGAGCAGACACCGCTGCCAATAGGAGTGCAGCAGCCAAGAAAACAGCAAGCTGCAGTGTTTGCTGAAGCGCAGAAGTGAACTGAATGGTGCCTTGGTCATTGGTCCTTTTGTGAGCACTTCAGACTTGGTCACTGAGAACTCCTGGCATGTCCTGTTGCTGTCACAGCCGTTTATCACATCCACAGGTTCTTGAAAGAGCCCACCCCGATTGCGTTGACCCCCACCCCCTTGCAGCAAAGTGAATCCGAATGATCTAGAGTAAGCAAAGTTCCATGCCTGCCATGCTGGACGTGGACTTCTGGACGAGGCTGGGGTCTTGCTCAAGGTTCGGGGCGGAGGTTAGATTCCCAAAATGTTGCAAAGAAGGTGTGCGACTCCCAGCATGCAATGCGATCATGGGACCCGGATCCTTGAGCTGGGACTAAAGAAGTTGTGCGACAAGTTGATGCCGAAAGTATACGATGTAGCCGCTGTATGTGTGAAACCGCGTGGCAGAGCCCGATACAGCAGGAAACCATACAGAGCCATATACAGCAACAGCAACAGCACCAGAACTATTTGTAGTTTGTAGTTGTAGTTGCCGTTGTCGTCGTCGCAGTAGCAGTAGCAGTAGCAGTAGCACTAGCAGTAGCACTAGCACTAGCACTAGCGCTTGCAGTTGCAGTTGCAGTTGCAGTTGCAGTAGCAGTAGCAGTAGCAGTAGCAGTAGCAGTAGCAGTAGCTAGCAGCAGTAGTAGCAGTCAGGGTGTCCTTTTCTGCTAAGAGTTTCTGGCGGTGTTTTTACACAATCTAGCTACAAATCCAAATTCAGAGGTTGGTCTCAGGGTGTCCTCTGCAAGGAATGGCTTTTCTGAACTGAGGTTCCAGCATGAATGATGGGCACAGTCCGGGAGAGATCGCTTCCTTGATCCGGCTCGCCGAGCACCTGGAAGGCAGGAAAGATCGAAAACTTCAAAGTGTGCTCAGTTGTGACGTGGTTGATTTTACCCATTTTCGGACCAAACACATACACACAGAGACGAGCCACAGCTGATTGGCATTATCGGTTTGTTGCACCTACCGGCAGTTTCACGTGTCAGGTGCCTATGAGAAGGATGCCAGCTGCCCAGATTCGACCCTTCCTTCGCAAGCACCGAGCTTAATTCCAGCTCAGGACTCTCCAGAGCTTGCAGAGGCCATGGACCTCTTTATTGAGGTCCGGCCAACAGGGGGGGAACCAAATGCTCTTGCCTTTCGGTTCTGCCACCCTGTGCCGCAGGCGCACTCGCAGCGCTACATCTTCAGGGACACACGGTATGCGCCGACCTGAGGATGCGTGCTCGAAGACATGTGAACGACCCGTCCACGACTGCGCCTGACTGGGGCAGGGTGCAATGGATCGCTATGTCCAGCTCTTTCGGCGTTTGCAAGAGGTGCGACGCTTCAGAGCCTGAGGTCAAAGGCAAGTAGGTGGTGGGGGTATATTCCGAGAATGTTCCCATGGAACCTGGCCGCGGTGAAAGGCTGCCTGAATCAATTAAGGTATTCTGCAATGTAGCTTGCAAGAGAGGTACGCCTCTCGCATGTTTGCGAGCCACCTGCAAGACAGGAGCTTCGGCAGGTAATGCCATCGCATCACCAGGCCTGCTGGTTGCACTCGAACGCTTACTTTTTTCACGCAGCGTCTCGCTGATGCAGCGTCCATTGAAGTTGACCCGAGGCGAAGACAGGCAGGGTGTACACACTGAGGATACTGCAGTCTCTGCCCCAGACGGGCCTTGGTGCCTTGAGCTTTTGTATGTCCGTGCTCTCCGTTCTTGCAGCTTTCAAGGTGCTTGCGGCTTCTCACGCTGAAGCCTCAGCAACACCCCGGATTGAGCATCTCTTTGTGGCATGATCTTTGCAAACCTTGGGGAAGTCTCGCTACTGAAAGCAAAAAAGTTGACAAGAGCCAGCACATTCTCAAGTTCCAAGGCGAGACCCTGATTTCCAGCTTGCGTGCACCTGACACGTTCTTGAAAGGGCCGTCAGTGCGATCTGCAGTTGCGCCTGTTTTTTTGTGCTTGCATTCAATGCTTCAAGATGCTCCAATGCATTCAGGGAGTCCCCTCCATCTTTGTGTCCTTCGCTTGCGGGGGAAGGGGTTGCCGGACAGAGCTGGGCGATGCTCCACCCAGCAAAGCTCCCCCTCCACGATGGCGCACACGCGCTTCACGGTACTCGTAACTTAGGCTGGCCGGCTTGCCTCAAAAGTTGCGATGCATTTTGTGCGGGTGTCTTCTTCCTTGGCGGGCTTCTGGATGCGCCAGTGAATCAGTGAAGAATCTCAGCCAGGCTACTGGAGAAAGGGTGGAAGAAGTCGGCCTTTGAGGTGGGCACTGGTGTACGGACGCGTGCCTGCGTGCTTGTCATCAGTTGAGCGGTCTTCGGGCGTATGCATGCTCGTCTTGTGTGTAGCCAGCGTAGCCATCATAACCCCGCCATCTCAATGAGAACGTCCAGGAAACCGAGCCGGGTGCGGAACGTGGTCGTGAGCTGCCGGGGTCCCCTTTCTCATGTGGCCTGTCGCGGCCCTATGCGTTGTCTCTGTTTGCCCATGAGGCCGACACCAGTGCCGCCTGCCTGCTACCGGGCCAAAGGCTTAGCAGATTTCAAGGTCTTGATGGAAGAGGTCTAGGTCTGCTATTGAAAACGCGCAACCCACAAACCCGCGATTGTTGGTGCAAAGTATTGTGGGAGATTTGTGCATATCCATATATATATATACATATATAAGCTCGCCACCCCCCTCCAAGATCTCCGTTTACAGGTTTCCAGAACCTAAAAAAGGTCAAAAACGCCAAAGTCAGGATCCCAAAAAGCCCAAGCCAAAAAAACCAAAACCAAAAAAAACATTATTCTGAGACTCTTGGACAGGTGAAACCAAAACAACCCAAACCAAAAAAACCAAAACCAAAAAAACCCTAACAACAAAATCAAACAAAACCAAAACAACCATTATTATCGAACTCTTGACGTCACGGGGTAATGATTCCTTTGTCCAAGAGTCTCGGAATGATGGTTTTTTTTGTTTGTTCTTTTTTGTTATGGTTTTTTTGGTTTCGGGGTTTGTGGTTTTTGGGTTTGTTTGGTTTCCAAGAGTCTCAGAAAAATGGTTATTTTGCTTCTTTTGGTTTTTTTGGTTTTGGTCTTTTTGGTTTGTGGGTTTTTGTGTTTCTCTTGTAGAGAAATAGTGCGTCCCTAAAACCTAGGGAAATACTGTGCTTTTTCAGATGCATAGTGCCTGTACTACGCAAATATTAAACTAATACTATACGAAAGAGGCCCAGTGAACTATCCTAGTTTTTGTTCACTCATAGAATATCTATTGCAACATGTAGCGATTGTGCTCGGCAATCTAGACAACACTGCAATTTTAGAGACAAGATGCTTTTTTGAAAAGCAATTCGTTCTGTTTCTAGAGAAGCAGTGCTTGTCCCAAGCCCAGGGAAATACCCTTCTAAGCGCATAGTGTGGCAAAAATACTGAATTACGAACTCTTGAACAGCATAGACAAGCTTACAAACGCATAATTCTCGTAGAGTTCTTAAAGAAACACGACTTTAGCACAGCGACTATGTGTACTAGATTTGATTATAAAACAAGCAGTTTTCATCACACAATGATGAAACACTGCTCGGGCACTAATGAAATACCACTTGTACAGATTATATTCTGTCTCAAGCGCACAATTCGCGTAGACAAGCTCAAGAATACATTTTTTTCTTAGAAACCTATTTGCCTCGTGAAGACCATAGTACTCGGAAATTCCAAATCCTAACGCCTTGGGAGAATCTCTGGCGAAGATTGGACTTTTGGTTTTTCAGGTGTTTCGGAACAAATAATGCAATTTTCCTAAGCAACGCTTTTTCCAAGCAAAATGTTGATGAACTAGGCAAATTAAATATTATTGAAACACCTGGTACATTCTGAAAAGCACACCAACGCAATATTCATTGCATAGAAATTCAATACTAAGTACATACTGGTTTTGTCGATTTAGTGTGAATTCCTATTTTCAGCTTGCTTGGAGTGAGCAATGAAGGACAGCTATTGGGACACACGCCGCAAGCCGCCCGATAAGCAAGACTTGGAGTTTGAAGAACATCCGAAACGCAGCGGACATATTTTACTACGGGACCAATGATTACTATAACAGTAGGCATGATAATATTGTTATGGTTAGTGGTAGGAATTATCTTACTATTGGCTTTTATTGTTGTATGAGAAAGAGACCCTTTCCTGGGAATCCTGAAAGAAGCCTCGTCAGACCCAGTGTTGACACGTGCAGCTCAGCACGTATTTGTTTACTAAGACAACAGTAAAAAAACACAAAAAAGCACGAGTTTTTTGAGGTGTTAACAGCAAAACTACTATACTTTCCAGGTTTTTTGGCTTTCGGAGTATAGAAGGTCACATATGTTTAAACCGAAATTCGGTTTCAGATTTATAGACATTTTGCATGCATGATGTGTCACGTAAAATAGTCCCGGAAATATTCGAAAATTACGATTTTATCGGTATTTACAGTACAGTGTTTTCGGCGTGCGCTACTTGTTCACAAGTGCGTGGAAGCAAGCAGAAGAGTAGTGTAGACAAGGAGGGTGTAGATCTTGGGGGGGGGGGGGGGGTGGTGACCATATATATATATGCTTATACTTAGAGTAACTTAGCTATATACAAACATACATATGTGTTTGTGTATGTGTACAGTTTGTTTGATCTTTTATGAGAGGCCTTCGGTGTCCACTTAGCACCTCCTCTTTTATATAGTAGAGAATAGCCGGGTTTATTTGACAATAGGTTAAATAACGAACTATTTTAAACAGGCCAATCGAGCCTGTCTTGAAGTTTTTCGTTGTTTTCATCTGCAAGAGAGATTTCAGGCTTCCAATGGCTTTTGCTATGAAAATGGACCCAAATTCTATAAACATTTTAGAAGGTCTATTTGAATTTGATGTGGTGAAATTCCAGATTCAAGGCCGTTTGAATTTTGTAAGTTATGAACTTGCATAATTTTCAGAATTTTCATCTTGTTTGTGTTGACGCTTCAAATCATTTTTGTATATGCTGAAACTCCATTTGAATTGTAAATTTGTTAGATTGAGTTTTGAAAATCTCGTTCCGGATTTTTAACGTCTAAATATTTCGACTATTTCTAAATATTAGAAATCGCCTATGTCTGGGGCTTCGCCATGTTTGAATTTGTGCATACATTTTGAATCATTAAAAAGGAAATAGTTCAAAGAATTGAAATGGACCGATTTGAGTCATTCAAATTATGTCAGTCCGCAAAAGCCATTTCCGAATTTATTTTATGTATTTCAGAAATTCAAATGGACCCAGTTACATTCTTCAGGCTATTTAAACTGCTTGAACTATTCAAACAAACCCTTAGGACGCTTGGTAGAAATTCTGTGCTGTTGCATGTGACTTCTTCGCTACTAGAAAAGACAGCAACTAAGGAAGGAGCTCGTGCCGGTGCCAAAGAAAGACATGTCACGTTTCGGAGACTACATTGTCGGCGCGTTTTGAGCGTTTACGACACCCCCCCCCCCCCCCCCCCAAAGAGTAGGATCCCCTTATAGCAAGGATCCCAAGAGGGTACCCCTAATATCGTAAACGCCCTTTTGGAAACGTTGATATTGGTCTTGTGGATGATTGGGAAGAAGGCCCAGGTTGAAGACCTTACACGGGGTCTAATGTCTTCCTTCTCGTAATCATGTTCTCATATCGCTCACATGCAAACTTCATTCCTGCAGTTGGAAGGATAGTCATAGGAGAGCGCCAGGAGCCCCCCCAACTTTATGCAGTCTTTTGGGTGTCTTACTGTTCACTTCATTTATTCGTTTATATCAACATGAAGAGAATAGTGACCACAGAACCCGCAAAGACAATTTCAGAATCTTGGTGTAGGGGGTTATATTTGGCGCATATCCTAGATGCAAGCAAATAGCAGTCGAAGTCGTGAGAAAGCAGTACGCAAAGAACATCAACATGAAGAATAGTATCCACAAAATATACAAAACTCAGAGAGTTTTTTGGCGACTATCATAGATGTAAGCGAATGGCACTCGGAATCATGAGCAAGAAGCGCTCAAAAACATCCGCACGGGGCGTTAACCGTCGTGCGTGTTTTCACGATGTAGCGTTTTGCCACAGCGGGAGCACGATTTTGAACGTGGTTTTGGCCCTAAGAAGCGCCAGTTTCAGAGGTCGTTTTGTGGAAAGCATGGTAGGCGCGGTATTTTCGACGATTCGGCGCACCTCTTTTTCACGTCTTCTTTTGTTGCTGGTTTGCAGGCCGAAACACTGCGAACGTCGATGTTTTGTGGTTTTCCAGTTTACCTTAAAGTTTGTGCTCTTTTGTGCTATTTTTCTTTGTGTGGGCCACTTCAACCAATAAACCGTTGCCCGTAAAGGCATCACCTTAAAAGTTGGGCTAATGAGAATAGGGCTTACCCCTTCCCTGAATGCTTTGCGGTCCACGGTTCTTCTTGGCCCACATGCAGGATGTCGGGAAAGGCTGCATGAGGGACTTGCGCTGGTCTGCCTTCTGGCGGGTTTGACGTTTAAGGTCCAGGGGTCCGAGCCTAGGATGTATGATTGTCTCCTTCCGGGCTGTCGGTCTTAAGTTTAGGTACGCAGGGCAATAGTGCAGGAGTCAGGGATGTTACTTCTTCGGCGCAAAAGCTGTCTAGGGTTGAGGTGCTTCTTTTGCGCTGATCCGCCTTCTGGCTGGTTTGAAGGCTGACGGTTTTAGGGTTCATGTACGTGCGGGGGCAATTTTCTGCACGTCGGTCTTTCTCCTCGAGGAAGGAAAACTGTGTGAAGGCAAGAAAGTCATGTCAAGAAGTGTGAGTACGACCTCGAGTGTTGACTTCATTCAAGTCTTTGACATGTGCTTGCGTCAAAGTTACGCGCGCAGCTGTCCATATTCTGCGTGCACACCTTCGCAACACCACAGTCAACAAGAACCGATGCACGCCAGTACGATCCCCCCACCCCACCCACCACCCCCCCACCACCCGCCCACCCCTTCCCCCCGCCGCCCCCACGAAACCCCACCAGGCTAGGACCGAGCGGTTCGGGAAGGAGCCCAAAAGCAATGGGGTGAACAGGAGCTAGGGTGCCCGAAGTGTTCGAGTCAAAAAAAGTTTCGGGATCTTAATTTGTGGTTATCTTTTGGCGAATATCCTAGATGCAAGCCAATGGCAGTCGAAATCATGAGCAAGCAATGCACAAACGTCAATATGAAGAGTGGTGACCGCAACTGCACAAAGCAGTTTTCAGAGTCCTGGCGAGCAATAAGCAGAATAAGTTATGCAAGCATAGTTTCAACATCTAGAGTACATGTTTGAATCGCACTCTACGTGCAAGCGAATCTGCAGTCGAGCACATAGGCAGTCAGTACACAAAAAACAACAACGTCCGCAAACCTAATTTCCAGAATGCAGGTGTTGGGGCATAGGCATAAGCGGCGCCGCAGTGAAGACATGGCTGTAGGACATTCTGGCGTGTGCACATGTATTCTATATATATATATGTATATGTTTATTTGTTCAATAGCATTGTGTTTATTCTAGTGCATGCGTACGAAAACACGCGAGCAAGTACCATGCGCTCCTCCAAGTTTTTTTTCATTGCGGCAGTCTTGTTTGTGCCTTTGGCCTCCTACAGAGCATACGGCTTTCATTTCACGCCAAAGCTTCTCAAAGATGCCCTCATTGAGCAAGGCGTCAACAATAAATGCTTAACCTCCTTGGCATGTTCATGCGTAGGCCAAGACGACCTACTCACGATGCTTCGACCGATGATGCTTTCATGAATCACATCAAGGCAAGAGGTTTGAAAGGCCAGCGCGCTCCTTTCCAAGGTCATTGCTCCGGACCTGCCTGGGTTGCCGCCACCCAGCCTTCGCCCAGGATTTCGAGCTTCGTTGCTCCCACGTGTCACCAAACAGCGACAGCATTTTTGTTTGAGCCCTTCTAGTTTCAGAAGCGTCGCCCTGAACTAGATGGCTGTGCAAAGGAGCTAGCGCATCTCCTCGAATGACGTGGCGGAGCCCTGAACCCCTAAAGAGGCTTGGATGCGAAGAGCAGCGCAGAGTCTAGCAGCATCAAGCAGCTCTCGCCACTGGCTTCCATCGTCAGGTCCCCGTCCGTGGAGATTGTCGAGGAGATGGCGGGTAGATGTCTCAGATGACTTGTGCAGCACGCACAGAAGCACTGGGAGTCGTTGTCCTGTGGTTCGTCCCTTTCCAGGTCCGGCCTACCTAGCAGATGTCGCAGCCACAGATGACATTGTCTTGCCAAGAAAGGGTTCCTTTTTGTAGAATTTTACGAAGTGTCCGTTCATCCAAGGAGCGCGAGCGCTTCCGCCTTCCTCCGCTGGAAAGGCGATCCGCTTGCGACATCTCTGGGCTCTCAGCCTCTATGGAGATTCAAACGTGTTATCTAAGGGCTCAAATTTTGAAAACTTCAAAAAACAAGTAGGATTGTTCTCGTGTTCTTACGAGCTTGGAAGGGGTGGCACCGAAAGCCGGCTGGCTGCGTACGCCGGCCACCATAGCGTGCGGAGTTTTCTTCCAGTCTTCCAGTCTGCCAGTGTCTCAGTGTTGCCTTAGCTGGTCGGTGGCCGAGGCCTTGCAAAGCCGAGCGCCTGAAGTACTGAGGAACGACTCTGAGTCGAAGGATAATGTGGTTTTCTGTGGATCAGTGTAGCATCCGAGCTTGGCAGTTCAGTGAAACCTCGAGGCGAAAGGCACTTTCTTCCCCATCTTGGCACAGCCTTGCGAGGCTTTTTCCAGAGCTTGTGTCGGAGTACCTGGCGGAGGTGGAGGGTGGCTTTGGACAAGGCCATGTGAAGAATCGCCAGACTCGGCCACAACTCGTTGTGAAAGCACTTATGTTGTTTTCTGAAGAGGCCTGGGAGTCGCATGCCTTTTAGCGAATTGAAGCAACGTAGTCTCTCGCAGCCATTCGCGGCAGGCATGCAGTTCGATGATTCTTCTGCTGGGATGGCCAACAGGTGCCCTCCGGTCTTTTGCTTGCACCTTTGTCTTTGTTCTTGTTGTCCTTCTTCTTCTTCTTGTTTTTGTTGAGCGCAGTGGTCGCTTGATCCGGATCGGGAGCGCCACAAGATTGCAAGCTCGTCATCTTTGGATGGGGCAATCGCAAGCTGTTGGTCGAAGGGCTCTGCAGAGGTATATGATGGTATATGTATACTGCACTCGATGAGTGTCTGACTCGCCATGGCTGTCACCCAAGTGAGAGGCTTAAGAAAATCTAAGAAATATCAAGATCTTCTTGCAGGAAAACCTTGTGTGGGGAAGGCTTCGAAACCCCAGACCCTGAGCATGCGCCCGCGGTGGCATCTGGGATACTGGCCTGATGAGTGCAGCCGTGACAGAACTTTGGAGGCTTGTGGTCACTGTTGCTGGCCTTTGCGTCTCCGAGATCGCGGGCATGCTCAACCGCTATGCCAGCACCGAGGCGACCTGGTAATGCACTTTGCATGTTGGTCTTTAGATTTCTCGTCGCTGCGAGGGCAGACAAGGGACATCAAGAGGGTTTCCTACGATGATGATTGCCTTCTCTGAAGGACAGACGGAGCCGATTGGCAGAGATGGGTGTCGGGATCTCGAGTTTTGTGTTTTGCAGCTTCCCTGTTCATCTTAACGCACACCGTACAATAAACCTAAAAACGCCGCAAACCCTGTACATCGCAGTTTGATTGAAGGCTTACTACCCTGTATCCAAAGCAAAGCGACTTCTCATCGTTTCCTTGCGTTTTCTGGATGGGATCTGCCACTCAAGCGACACCACCAACCATTTCTGAGGCTCTGCCCTCCGTGGCCAGACTTCTTCACAGGGCATCCATGCCACGTTTAGGATGCAGGCGGCATCAAGGTTCATTCCTTGTTGGTCTGGTGAGGCTGCGTGCTGATCAGAGAGTTTTGTGAGTCTTGAGAAAAGGTGACTTTTGTCTAGCGACATCGCGATGTCTAAGAATTCAGTTCGCTTTTACAGTAGAACCTGGCTTGACGTTGGCCGGCTGTGTGATGCTTGTCCTTGGCATGTCAGTCTGAATCGGCAGTAGAGAATCGAGACGCTGACAGCCGACAGCCTGGACCCACAAATTCCCACCAATTCCCACGAAGTTAGCCAGGACTGCCACCCTCTTGTGCAACGGCCGCGGGCCTGGACAAGGTTAAAGGATGGCTTGGAGATGGAGGTCCGCGATTCGGTAGGGCAATGTCACAATGTGGGCCCTTGAGCTGCAGGGCAGTGGCTTGGAGGTGTTTCGCTGTTTTCGGTTGTGCAGGCTTAAGTTTGCAGGACGCAGGTGCGTTGAGAGGCATCTGAACCCCCAAGGTGCGCCCTTGAGACGGTGGTGCAACTGACAAGGATGCTGCTTCGGCTGTTCGCTTCCTGTTTCGGCCAGATGAGGGCCGTTTTCAGCAGAGATGGGGAGTTTAGGGCTTGAGTGGGTCCTAGTTGCAATCAGGTGCATCAATCGAAGCAGATGCGTTCTGGTATGTTCATGTATGTTCTAGTTATAAGTCACTACAGGTGACAGCACTGCGTTCACGTCCACGAGCGTTCCGCGGCACTCAACTGGCCTGGAAAGTAGCACCTCTAAAGCAACATCTTGCTGAAGCCTCCCTTGTGCCACTCATACTGCGAGGCATGCAAAGTTGACAGGAAGTGGCCATTTATGCAAAGCGTTGACGTTCCCAAGCAGGAGTCCAGCTGTGTTGGAGCACCTGGAGCAAGTCTCGGCACATGAAAGCTTCAAGGCTCGCAGACGGTTTTAAGCGGTAGGACCTCAGGATCTGCGAGGCTTGAGCCGCTAGAGATCTTGTGCCGCTTTGATGTGACTCGCCCACAGTCTTACAAATGCTCGTTCAGAGGCTCGAGAATGTATAGGCATCCGCTGAGGCCATGCCACCAAGCATGGCAAACGCAGAATACATGGTGCACGGCCTCCGAGTAGAAATGTGCCACAATCTTGAGGCGTTGAGGCCCCTTATATAACTTCAGCATAAATGTATAAAGCTGGGTAGAGTAGTGTTCGGCAAATCCCGTGTAGCCTTCGGTTCTGTGCTGGGCGCCATGAACCCCAGTGGTCCTCCGGTCGCTCCCGGCATCGTGGCCTGCACTGGCACAGGGTGTCGCGCTGCATTGTTCGGAGTTCGGTGACGTCCGTCGCACCGGGCGACAATGTTGAGCCCATACTTCGCCCACTCCCACCCTAAACCCTAAACCCTGAACCCTAAACCCTAAACCCTAAACTCTAAACCCTCGCACCTTTAATGCCTTTAGGCACCGTGGAGCTGGCGGGCGGCCCCAAGCTTTCTCGCAGCGAAGCGCGACGGCTAAGGGAGGAGGCCCCAGCCCGAAGTGTGTCGAAGTGTCGGCTTTGATTTGACGAGTCTGACACGTTCGGCAAGTTTGACCTGTTTGGGAGATTACGAGAATCAGGAACCTCCTCCCCCCAAAAAAAGAATACATAAGAGAGAGAGAGAGAGAGAGACATATATGTATATATGTATATATCCCCAAATAGTAGGATTCCTTTGTAATAAGGACCCCAATAAGGTACCCCTAATTTCTGAAGCCCCCGTTTAAGGGTGTGTTGTCGCTCGAAGTCCGGTTACGATAAAAACATATAAAAAACCCCCGGCATGGAAAAGTAAAGAGAAGCGCCCCGAGATGATCAGATGTGCGTTTTGCTCGATAAAACGATAAGAGTAAAAAAGAACGATGACGTTCAGAATAATGCAAAAACACGAGAAAACGATAAGAGCAAACAAATGGCCCGGTTCAAGCCCTGCAGGAGGAAGCCGCCGCGGTCAAGTCGCTTGCAGAAGCTTGGAGGCTCGAGTGTCTTCTGTCTGTTGCATCCCACCACCACTTATCACCAGGTGTCATTGAAACTACTGCATGGCAGGCTTGGCACCAAAGCCAAGCTAGTTGAGGAACTGAACGAGGCCGAACTGGGCCGAACTGTTTGGATGAATTCCCGAAGCTGCGTTCCGTTCCGGGATGGCCTCTGTGCAGGAGGAGGAGGCGAAGAAGAACGAAGCACGCGAGAGATCCCGGAGCAGGGAGAAGAAGGCACTTGAATGGGCACCCAAGCAGCTTCGAGCAAGTCATGTAGCCGCCAAAGCTTGCCAGGAAACACTCGATCGCCTGGCTAAGATTGCAGCAGAGAAGGCTACATTCAAGCTTGATTGCTGCCGATCGAGCTACTGTTTGCCAGAGAAAACATGCATTCGAGGCTGCAGCCAAAGCGAAGGAAGCTGCCGAGGCTGAGGGTGATGATGCGCCGGCTCCAGAGAAGAAGCTAAGCAAGCGCGCTCCTCGATGGTGCAGCGAGTAGTTGTGCATGGGTTGCTTTCCTCGACTGTGCCGGGGGCAAGTGCAAGGGCTGAAGAAGCAAAGCTGCTCCTGGCGAAGGAGAAGGAGAAGGACTCGGACTTGCAGCGTGTATGTCGTGGCTATTCTTGGCTCTAACGGATCCTCTCAAAAGGACCCTGTTGATATCTGTTGATCTAGTTTCAACTGCGCCGTTGTGAGGCTCGCCTTAAGAAGCAGGCGATGGAGGAGGCAAAGAAGGAGGAGGTGCCCAAAACAGAGGGACTGCGTGGAGAGCGTATCCTGCTTAAGCACATGCTTTCGTAGCGGTGTGCGGGCTTATTGATGGTTTCGAGCTTCTTTCTTGCACCGCTGAGTGTGTGTGTGTGTGTGTGTGTGTGTGTGTGTGTGTGTGTGTGATATTGTATTTAAGTCGACAGATGTTGCCCAGGAGATGCGCAAAAAGATGGCCGTCCTGGAACGGGATCTGAACAAAGGTGATAAGGGGAAGTACAAGCGATATTAGGGCCCACTCCTTTCGGGTCGTGAAGACCTGCGGAGCTCAAAGTGAGGGTCCTTGACTCTGTGCAGCTGGGTTTAGGTCAGGGTTTCTTGATCGATATCAGAGTCTGGCCCTGTCTCACAGCTGGCTGTGAACAGCAAGAGACCGCGGTGACGAAGGAGGTAGAAATCCAGAATTCGGAAAGACTGACCACGTGCACGGAGCGTTCGTGAAGCTGCCGTGAAGCTGCCGCTGTGTAGGCTTTGCCACAGCTGGATGCTGCCGACACAAACAGTGGCAAGCTGTCGTCCTTCATCCAACACGGCCCTGCGCTTGGAAGCTCAGTAGGTCACAGCTCGAGGATGCAGCTTGCATGGATCGACTGCTGCTCTACCCTCTGTGCTCTTCCTACGCTCTGCTGCCGAGAGATGACAGGTTTGCGGCTGCTGCTGTCCTCGGAGTGGTCGCTGAAGAAATTGGCTGCGCAGCTTCTGGACCCGTTGTCGCGACAAGAGACCTCGCTGAGCAAGAGCGGTCAACGTGATGTGAGGCAACGTGACAGAACACAACAGATTGCAGCTCTTGGGGAATCGCTAAGGTCACTTTCGGCAAATAAGTCACATACACAGCAAGGCGCAAGCCAGCGCAAGCCCCTAGTTCACGAAACTCAGAGTAGACGATAAGAAAGGCTGGCTGCTCATTTGGCAGGACCAGCTGCTCCAAGGCCCCGGCGGCCGCCAGCGCTTTCGAAGGCTGCAGGCGCTGCCCTTGGCTCCTCGGCTCGGAATGTGGGTTTGGGGGTTTCAGGAGTTTTTTTCGGGATTCTGTTTCGGAAACTTTACGGGGCTGAGGGTAACCCCTAGGGTGACTTAGGGTGACCTATAGGGATCTTGTTTTGAAGGGGGGGCCTGCGTGTCTCCCCGCCCAGTGCCATTGCAAGGGGGCGGGCGCCTCTTTCGGAGTGGCCTGCCAAGCAGACGCTCCTTCAAACCACGTCTTGAATTCGCAGATGACCGTTGGCATGTCAGTCAGTATCATCCGTAGCAACATTGGCATGTAGCATTGCTGGTACATGGCTGGTATGGTCATTTTTTTTCGAGCTGGTGCTGCCCATTCCGTTCCAATAGGTTTGGCTCAGGCATGTGATTGCTTGTTGCCATCTTCCTCTACCCCCTTCGTCACTCTTGAAATCGTTACAAACAGCAGAGTGTTGAAGTCCTAAATCTCAGATGCAGGTCCTGAACCAGCTGAGAGTCTACTCGGACCTCTCGGGAGGTGCCAAGTTCGAACCCTTTGCTCATGGCTTCTCCAGGTGTTTGTGGGGGGCGGGGGGGAATGCTACAAGATCTTGCGACCTTGAGTTGCATCTTGTCTGCCAGCAGGTGTTGATCAGGAACAAGCTTGCATGTGGCTTCACCTGCCAGCATCCCAGCAACAGCAAGCCTGGCGTGTGATCTTCTCAGCCCAACGATCAAAGGCTGATGTGCCTCAAGGCCTTGTGCAATTGCGAACTGCACATGTGCTTCACTCAAAATGTGGTAGTAGTACTGCGACCTGATGCGCCAGAACCTTGCACGCGACCACGTGGAGAGCGGCGATCAATGGGCTGTGCAGGCATGGCATGGGGCTACGGAGGGTCACTGAGATGTATGCTTTTGGATCTGTCGCAAGCGTTTCGGTGCCGTTGCAGTCGACTTCGTACTGCTTAAAGGAAGCCTTGGTGAATTTTCAGGAGCTACTGGAGCACAATGCTTTGGCCGTCCTCCTGAGACTCATGAGGCGCGTGAGTGGCTTGCAGTGCCTTGCAGTGCCTTGCAGTGCCTTGCAGTGCCTTGCAGTGCCTTGCAGTGCCTTGCAGTGCCTTGCGGTGCCTTTACAACGAGCGAGATGCCAGGGTGTGCTACAAGTCCCATGATGTCCGGGACCCAGAGTGAAGCATCCGAATCAGTGTCAGTGGTTGTGGTGGCAGCTGTAGCAAGAACCCTGGCGGGCAGGAATGCTTTTGGCGGCCAGAAGTCTGGTGACAAAGAATTTTCTTGAGTGGCAGAATCATGGGTAGTGGCAGCCGGGCAAAACCGGACCACTCGCAGAAGCGGACGGGCGTTGCAAGGTGACACCAAAACGGCCACACTTCAGCAGCCCAAGAGAAAGCAGACATCTGCCAACAGGAGCTGCAACAGCGAACGGTCATGCACGCCAAGCGCAACAACATAGGAGCTGGACATTTCTGGACATTAAACCTCACAATGTGGTCAGCCTTTGTCTGGCTGGGTTGCTGGATCCTGAAACACAGGCAGAGTGTCGGGATGTACCTCGGACACGCAGGTGAGTAGGGCTTGCTGAGGCATATTGCCCATCATGTTGGCACATACTGAGGCAATAGAAGGGCCCTGGGCATTGTACTGTTTGAGTACTGCTGGCGAAACAAAAGCAGATCAAGCCCTGAGTGCATGATTCACATCGTTGCACATGGGTTGCACATGGTGTCGCTATGTCTTTGCCGGGTTTGCTTAGTGCTGCGGCCGAGGCCAACTTGGAGGTGGTCCTGGCCGCCCTGGATGCCATCACCCAAATGTGCATGGTGCGCCCCTGTGCTGTGGGCAATGCTCTTCTGTAGACTGGCCTTGGTTTTAGGGGCTGACTCGGGACTACGCCAGGAACAGCTTGTAAGCGCGGCCGCGCGCGCGAGAGTGTTGTGACTTCTTTTGACAAGCGAACGTAGCGTTTCCTACCCTGATTCATTTGCTTAGCATGGCTCACCAGTGTCCTTCCCCATCCCCACCGACAAAAGAAACGGTAGGGCCCAGGCTTACAGCTGGAAGGGAAACTCTAGTGGCTGCTCCCAATTTCTTGAGGAGAGCGGGGGTTCAGCGCTTAAGGTCTCCGGGCTGAGGTTGAGTCATTAGCCCATGTACTTAACACCAGCCCGTTCTAGCACTGGGCTGGGATGGTAGGGGGTCCTTCTAACTTCGGCCAGTCCCTGATGCTGGCCCCCATCTTGTCTGTGTACACCCGTCTATACATTCCTGAGCTTTTCACCGTTTTGTTAGGTTTCCTTACCTGCATCTTTCAACTGTTTCTCCGTGCCAACTTATTTGGGCCTTTGGCGTTCGGGGCGCAGGTGCTCAAGCAGTGTGCGCACGCGCTCTCTCCTGCAAAATCTCCCCCCTTTCAAATCCTCGAAAGATGCCATTTGGTGGCTAGGCTTCGATCAGAGCTCCCCTACCCTGAGCTGTTTTATCTATCGGTTTACACTGCTGCGCTGAGTTGACATATACCAGGAATCACTCAGCAGTCTGGTTGCATCCGGCCATCTGAAGCTGTGAGCGTGCAGACTGGAGGGTATGGAGAGAGAGAATGCAAGACACTCTCCTTGCTCTTGCGCCAGTTGTTCTTGCAGGATGACGAATGTGCGCTGAAACTGCGGCTGCATGCTGACGGCTTTGTTGCCCTTGGGGCCCTGATGCTGGAGCTGTCGCCAAGGCATTGTGATGCCGCGTACTGTGTGACATGGCACCGCGTGCTGTATGCTGAGAGCCTTGTGACCTTGTGTGTCCTTCGACAGTTTGGGGCCACTACCGATCATGGAGGATGATCTCGAAGGAAGCTTTCAATGCCAGGCGGACGCGGTTTTGAATTTTCTGAAACCGGGGGAGGGGGCTATCTTGGAGGATCAGGGCCGTAGTATGCCATGGGTTGGTAAGGGCTTGGAAATGTCCGGGCGCTAGCAGACGCAAGAGGCAGTGTTCTACGAGTGTTCTACGGAGGTTTGGGGATTAGGGGTTTGGTTTGTTTGGTGGGATTGAATGAATACTTAAACGAGGGTGTGGGCGCCGGGGAACTTGTTGTTGCATCCAGCTCTGAAGACTACAAGTGCAAGTATCCTTTGTGTTCAGTGCGCGGACACCCCTCAACGACCGGTGACTATGTCCTTGTTCATCATCTGTTTGTGTATGTGTGCTCCGTGTCCTCACGAGGACTTGGGCATGGTTATAGGTGACCGCATGTTGGCACACATTGTGTACCACATGATCGTATGATTACGAAGACAAGCACTCGTCTCAAATTCAGCCGAAACGCCCATTGCAGGCAAGGGACGTGCAGCGTGCAGCTGCCAGGCTCGGACGGCGTGCGAATGCCAAGGGCCCCCTAAAGTCCCTCACGGCTCAATGCCGGAATCCTGGAGGTTGCTGCGGTTCCTATTTGCTGTTGAGCGAAATCGCAAGGAGCGCGTTGCAGCGCCTTCATCCTGCGCCCTCTTGTTTGGTGGTGCGGGCTTGATGTAGGCATTCAAGCACATCTTTGCCATTGAAAAGCTCCTGGCGCGATTTGTCGACATTGGCAACTATGTTTGGCCTCTGGAGGCGAGTTGTTTTTTCAGTAGTGCGCTATCAGAAGGTCCGTCAAGCTAAGCTGAGGCGTACGATAGCTTCTTGGATGTGTTGAATGGCTTGACCGCAAGAAGCTCAGCTTTTGGTAAGCGAACAAGCAGCAGATCATGGCAAGTGCGTGCAGGAAAAAGAGCTAACATTTCTGCACACCCGCTTCGGCAGGCAACTGCTACTTTGTGTTACCTGGGCAGTTTAAGCCTGTTTCTAGATTTCTAGTCCACCGTGGCGGCAGGTACAGAGATTTCTATGGAAAGGGCAGAGATGTTCCCACACTTGCACCACCTCAGCCAAAGACCGCTGATGGTACGAATTCGCCTAGTGGCTTCCGTGAAGGCCGCCATACCTGACAAATCGCAAGCATAGCCAAACTGCTGAGCGATGACTCTCCGCCAGGAACGCGAGATGAATGGGACTGTGAGCCTCTTGCTTGCAATTCCGGCCAATACGGCTCTGAAGTCTGAAGTCAGCTCCAAGCTTCCTTCCTCTCATGCATCTGCATTCCATTTTATGCCGTAACACGCTTCAGCTCGGGTTGCTTGTGCCTCTGTGTGCGTCTCTCGCTTGCTCATTCGCTCACTTTCATTCTTTTCAGGTTGCAGACGCTTTCTTTGTCTCCATCTCTCATTTTTGTTCATTCGCTCTCTCTCTCTCTCTCTCTCCATCTCTCTGTCTCTCTCTCACCCGCTCTCCCTTTCTCTATCCTTCTCTGTTTGGTGCTCCCCCGCTCCCTTTCTTTCTCCCCCTCCTCTCTTTCTCTCTCTGTCTCTCGCTCTCGCAAGCGCTTTCACATCTCTCTTTGTCGCTATGCGCCTGGCTGCGCGTCGGTCTTTCAGTCTCTCTCCGTCTATCTCCTTGTCCATCCGTCTCCCCCTCTCCTTTTCTCCGTCTCCCTCTCCTCTTCTCGCTCTCGTTCTCTTTTTCTCGCTCTCGCTCTCTTTTTCTCGCTCTCTCTCTCTCTCTCTCGCTCGCTCTGCTCTCTTTTCGCACTGTTCACTTACACTTAACGCAGAGCCCAGGCGAGTTGTTTCTGGCTACGAGCTCGTGGAGCCAGAGCCCTAGTTGCAGCATGTGAGTTTCGATGGGGTGGCAATGCCCGTAGCCAGAGCATGCTATATTGCAGGTGCGTTGGTTCTGGTGCCTTTGGCCGTGTGCATTTGGCACGCCGGGCTGATATGCCAGGCTCGATTCACGTGATGCAACTTTGTTGCCATGGCAACGGCCCATTGACCCAATGTCTCTGAAAGACCATGTTGGTGTGAGAAGCTGCCAGGTGATTTCGCTGTGAAGGAGGACTGCTCGGATTGCTTCCTTTGCCGTTTGCTCCTTTCGCGGGGTGCCATGGCAGATCTCTCTTTCGGAAGTCACGGTGCTGCCAAATCCAGCGTGGCGGGCTTAAAGCCGGTGAGGTTTGAATATAGATATCCATTCAGCGTTGGCAGTGCAAGCAATTGGGACCTGCAGGCAGCATGAGTGTACGCCGAGAGCTCGCACTCCTCAGCATGTCGGGCGCTTGTGACTAGATGCTAACACAACTTGGCCCTTTCGATGTCATGCCAGCCTCAATTTCCTTCAAGGCTGCCCAGGACGTGGTTGCGGAGGAGCGTGCCCCACTGTATGTCGCAGTTTTGCGAGGGGATGAGCTCTGAAGAGAGTATGGGGCACCATGTTGAGGTGCAACAGTGGGGTGTAGTGGCGGTGTACTGATCGGTAAGCCGCTATCGCAGGACATTAATTTGGAAGTGCATCTGCTCCGGCAGCTCGATCACCCGAATGTCGGCCCCTCAGCTGCTTGGAAGGCGCCATCCTGATCAGCCAACTCTAAACCCTAAACCCTAAACCCCAAACCCCAAACCCCAAACCCCAAACCCGAAACCGATTGAATGGCAACTCACAGAATGGCAGGTGGTGCGGTATTTTACTTCTTTCATAACCGGTGCCGGTTCGGCAAGCACCCTTTGGTACACGCGGCCTGCTTGAGATGACTGATGCCACTGGTATTTCGTGTGTGTCCTCCATTGGCATGGACAGGAATGCGAGCATTGACCTAGGCTAGCGAAACAATAGTTTGATGTCGGCCAGGGCATGTAGACTTGTTTGGTGCGGCAATGGGGAGAATTACTAGAATCTGGCCTGCCAGGATAGTGATGGAGTTCTGCAGCGGGGTGCCGCTTCAAGCTCTGACGGCTTCTGCCAAAGAAAAAGGCAGGCTAATGTTAATTTATTCTGGTTTCATCTTGAGTTGTTTATTTCCAAATACTAGTAGGTGTTTGTTTTGCGGAGCCCTTCCATACTCCCAGCAGCCACTGCGCAAGGCAAGCTGGATTGGCACGTGATCGTAGGAACAGAATTCCCAGCAGCGGCTTATGTTCTCAGGGTCTGAGTTTGGGCAGGGTTGGCCTCTGTAATTCATTGTTGTATGTTGTTCCGCCTCCAGCACTGGAAGCTCCGGATGGTCCGTTGTGGAATGTTCTAGGAATCTCTGGGTGACTATCCATTTCGCTTTGCGAAGGCCTGCAGAGGCTTCCAGAGCAGCAGACATGGCGGATTTTTGTGCCCTTGGGTCTTGGCCAGCGAATTGCTTTCTTGCAGGGCCTGAAAATCGTGCAAGCCTTCGAAGACAGTGTGAGCTGTCCTGCCTCGACGGTCAGAACTGTCGCTATACTTGTCATTGCCACGAAGTCCGCTGATACATGTAGTTGGTCCTTACGCCCCGTGTTTCTGACATGATGCCCTGTCAGGTACAGATTTGCCTCGCGCTGCGATACCTTCACATCGAAAAGCGCATTGCCCATCGCGACCTTTCTCCCAACAACGTACTCCTGTCGTGTTTCTGTCAAGAGCATGGAGCCAGATAGCTGAGTTCGTCTTGCTCTCATCACTTGCAGGTCCTGGTGCAGTCGCACTCGCTTGCGGTCAAGGTAACCGATTTCGGACTTGCGCGTCAGAAAGGCGGCGCCGCCTCCCTGATGAAGTCCATGGTTGGTACAATTCTGTATTGCAGCCCGGAGATTGTGCAGCATAGGCCCTACACGAACAAAGTTGACGTATGGGCTCTAGGCTGCCTGCTGTACCGGATGGCGACGCTTCGGGATCCCTTTACTGGAGGCAATCCAATCAGCGTGGCAAGGAAGATCGTGGAATGCGACTACGAACATCTTGGAGCTGAGCACTCCAGGCTTATGCAAGTGACTTGCGAGGAGTGCCTTACCGTTGATCCCGAGAAACGGCCTGGAATCGAAGAGGTTTGTCAGCTGATCACACCTGCCTTCATGCAGCAACTGGAGACCGTTCAGCGAGCCATGACCTCGCATTGTAGTGATATGCAGACGCTGCAGGGAAGCCACTACTCGGGTACTTCAGCGTGGGATGATTATGGCAGCCATGGCAGCCATGGCAGCGTCCAGGGGCACTGCACGCCAACTGAGTCGCCGTCGCCGCGAACGCCGAGTGAGGACCTGTCCTGCGCAACACCGGGCCCAGGTGGCAAAAATCTCGTGCGCGTGCCGCGGCGAGCCTTGCGCACTGTGGCGGATCCCGCTCAGAAGGCCATGGCGGTGGTACACCGTCTGGCCTTCTTAGGTCACCTGCCAGGCTGCGATGATTCGCAAGACTCGCATCACTGGGCGGTTTGCCGATACCAAGAGTGGCTGTTTTCAAGTCCCGGTCATGCAGCTATCCTGAAGCGGGAGGTTACAAGGCTCATGCAGAGATCTTCAGAGCTCGTCGAGTGCCGTGATCCTTTGGGTCAGTTGCCGCTGCGTGGAAGTGCCGGTGCAGACGTGGCCTCCCTGGCACTTAGCTATGAGCAGCTCTACCAGTATGTTATCCGAGTCTCCTCGTTCTACGGATACTCCTGTGTTCCTGAAACAGGACCACCCGTGTCCTCAATGCCGAGCGTTGGCAGCCACAACAGCTTTAACGGATGATGCCGGTGTTACAGCAGCAGACAAGTTCTCGTCAAGCACCCCTCGGGTCAGCCAATAGCAAAACTTGACGCAGCTGTCTTGTAAAGGACGGGGGCGCATGGGCACCTTGGTAACTGCACCCAGTATGGCTCTACATTCGGTCAAAAGCAGAACCAGATAAGCGGCATCATTTGGATTACAGTTTTCAGACTGTCGGCCTGAACGGACTGGGCATTTTCAAGCACCAGGCCTTCGAACGGTCCATGTCCCGGCGATGCCGGATGTGCTGTTTGCATTTGCGGTTTCGCAGGTGTCCAGTGACACGCTGCCCCAACAAGCTCCAAGGTGCTTTAGGAGCTGGGCGCTGTGAGCGTGAAGCCCACCAAAGCCTGCTCAGGACGTCTCATGCTTCAAAGCCTGGATGCATAGCATGGCTACTTGTACCCACCTACCACTAGCTGCCTGGTACCCAGTAGGTGGTTTCCTTATGTGTAGACAGAGACATATCTGCGCAGATGATTGTCCCCTTGATGGTTGAGGCTTGCGAGCATGGACGCCATTTAGCAAGCTGGTGTGTTTCGCTTGCCCGCTTCCCGTTTAGGGAAACATTCTGCAAGGCACCAGTATTGAGAGCGGGCGTAGGATGTCAGTTTTGTGCAATCCGTGATGATCGATGCACACAGTTGCCCTCCAACGCAGAGACATTTCAAGGAGTGAATCTCCTGATTTTTTTGGGAGACCCATCATGTGGGGCTGAGTGGCTGGCCTGACCATTTGCACCAGAGCCCTAAAGTCTTCCAAGATCAGCCCAGACCCTTCAACAGCACCTTCGAATTCTCGTGTGGTCCCTGCATTCCTGCCATGGCACTCGCTGCTGTGTCCCCTTCGGTCTTCCGCTGCCAATGCCAGCAGCTGGTCGACCTAGCCCGGACCGTGCAGGCGGCGATTCAGGGCCTGGCTCTGGTTCTAGCGGCAAAGGTTTGGCGTTCGTTGAAGTTGGGGGGAAGATGTTTTCCAGGGCCTGGGACACGGTGAGAGGGCAGCCCCCCCGAAATCCACCTCATTCCGCAAGGAAGTGGCCGGACATGCAGGCCTGCAGAAGCAGGAGCAGCGCCTGGCACTGATAGCCACAGAGCTACAGGGCTTCGCGCGGAGCGAGTTCCGGCAAGGCGAGCGCAGGCCGGCTTCGGCCATGCAACCGGTCCACGTGTCGCTCCGGGACCTTTGCTCAAGCAGCGAAGACGCCCATGCGCAGCTCCAAGAACTTCAGGGTCAACTTGCTGAAGCCCAGCAGGACCTGAAGGATCTGATGTCACGTTACGAAGGGAGTCTGCAGGCGCAGGAGAAGCAAGTGCAGGCACTCTCCTCAAATATCCTGTCCCTCACGCAGGCCCAGGAAGCTTCCAGATCCTCGTTGGAGGACCATGAGGCAAGGCTGAGGGTGATGGCACTGGACCAAGCACAAGCGCAAGAGGCCGCCAAAGACAGCTGCCAGCGCACCAACGTCCAATTTGACGAGGTCTACGAAGTCCACAAGCGCATTTCTTCTGAGGTCGGGGAGGTCCGCGAAGCCTTCACCTCGCTGGAGCAAGAGCTCATGGAGTCCTGCAGTAGTCATAAGCAGTCGCTACAAACGCGGCAGCAGCAAGCACTTGAACAGCTGGAAGAACTTCGGTTTCTGTCGCAGCAACGTCACACCGAATCTCAGGAGCTGGTCAACAAACCCTTAGTGTAGCGCTAGCATGGCTTATGCTTAAATCCTACAGGATCCCCTGCCCTGAGATGCTCTGGGCATCAAGCCTCAAAGCTTGCAGTGCAGGAGCAGTTCAAGACCTTTCAGCAGCTGATGCTGTCTCAGCAGTGGGAAGCCAAGCAGATTGTGGATAGTGAGCTACGGAACTTCCAGGTTCAGCTCGACAAGGCTGAACCTGTAAATTTCTGAGGATGAGATGCGCATAAGTTAGACGTGCGAGTGCAATAGAAACGTAGGTACATGTAAGGCACTGTACAATTGCGATATGGCAAGACTCGCTGACATTAGCATAGAACTTGCAGCGCCCTGCAAGGCACTTTGGCAAAAGCAGGCTTCGGACTGGGTGAAGTCTTCAGAAGACATCAGAAGTCCGCGTGCAGCCGGTGAGCCGGGCAAGCTGGCCGGAACCGATGAGCGGCAACCGCCACAACCGCTACAACCACCACACCCGCCACAAGCATCTCTGCTTCGGGAGGACTTTCCTGTTTCGTGGCGTGGTATCCTTGAGGACACCATCCGGCGCTCTAACTGTCTCTGTGAGCAGACAAAGGTGGAGACGGACACCAAGCTTGGTGACCTCGAAACCAGGCTCCGAAAATGTATGAAGAGCCTACTGGATGAGCAGCTCAAGATCAACCAGCGCACATGTCAAGAGGCCTCAGAGGCCCAGGAGACTGGACAATTGAGCGCAGAGCTTGTGAAAGCAGCGGAGGCAAGTTTCAAAAGTCGTTTGGAGCGGAACCTCGTAGCTGTGCGAAGCGATTTCCAGCGAGACCTGGAGAGCCTCAGGGACTCGCAGCAGAAGGTCCTGGGCCAGGTGCAGCAGACTCTGCAGAGCGTAAGCAGCGACATGGAGATTGCGGCGACGAGCTCGGCCAGACTCAAAAACTCCGTCAAGCATGTGGAGGCGACTGTGAAGGACATGTCTGTAAGTGTGGCTCAGCACCAAAGTGCTATCGACGAACTCAAAGCAGAGGCTGAAATGCTGCCTCGAACCTGCAAGAGAGTCGACGACCTCTGGCGCCACATGGAAGCGGTGAAAGCAGATCTGGCTCTGGCACGATCCGGGAGAGAAAGCAGGGCAGAGATTCTGCCCCTGAGTCAAGGCAGGAGTGCTAGCGCAGGCATCCATGGGCCCCTGCCGCCATCTCCGCAGCCACTGTCCAGCGAGAGGAGAGCCCGCAGCCAAGCCGTCTTGATATTTTGCGTGCAGTAGATGAACACATCGACATGCTGTGTGTTGCTGCGTGTTGCCGTGTGTTGCTCTGTTTCACTTTGCTTCCTTGTGCTATGCACCCTTGAGTCGCCAAATCGCTTTGTGTGAGCACCGGCCTGTGAGGTCCGTGACTCCGGACTGCTGGCAGAGGAGCCCCGGGCGATGTAGAGCAGGGACGAGGCCTCAGTGATGTCCCAGATTCGGCGTACGGATTGACTGCTGGCAGCAGTGCTGCTTCTGTGCTCAGCTCTGCCACGTGTCCGGAGCGTTGTACAGGCTTTCTAATTAGCGCAAAGTCGCCAAAGGCGAACGTCGAAAAGCGTGCGCTCAACCTTCCATGCTTTGGAACCGACACTGTCGAAAATAGCAACTCTGCAACTCCAAGATGCGGTGTTCTTCCCAACATTGCTTAGCAGAATTTAGGAGACTTTAGAGCGCGATTAGCCTACCTCTGGGCAGAGTTTTACCTTCCAGGATGCTGTCTAAACATGGCAGAGCCGAACTTATCAGAAAGAATGCGTATCAGAAAGTTAACCTGCTTGTGTATGTAGCAGATTCTGAGCTGTACAGATTCACATATGAAAGATGCCAGTGGGAGAACTTCATGGCCGTTAGCCTGGTGGAAACGGACTGTGGCTTAGCCCTCTTGCGGCTGCTGAGCCGTGGGCATGCGGTCGTCGCAGAGCTGCAGAGATGTGCCGAGACCCTGCCTGCAGCCATACGTGGCGAAGGCGAGTTGGCAAAGCGTCTCTCACCTGTGCTGCCAGACTTTGCTGTTTTCCGTCGCGAAGGGGGAGTTGAGAAGGTAGCTGGCACTCCGGAGTTAATTGAACTAGATGAGGAAAGCCGCGAACTCAACGCGGACCCTGCAGATCGTCTGTTCCGAGTTCTCTCAGCCATACGAAAATATTTTGCTGACCTCGCCAAGCTGCTGGAAGACATTGATGCTGGTGTGTTCGTAGGCCAGAGTCATGAGAGCATCCTCCGTGATGCAGATGGCCTTTGCTTGCTTCCAGAAGCAGTTGCACTGTTGGGCACCATGCTCCTCATCGTAGATGAGCGAATTTCAGGCCCTTGTCGTGAGCGAGCGCTTGTTCTGTTCTATCGTTGTACGGCGGGTACAAGCCGTGAGTCGGATGACTTTGCAGACGTCTGTCGACTCTTCAAGTCCACCGCGCGTCCAGCAGACACGGACTTGGCAAGCAGGCGGCCCGGATATCCTGAGAGCTACTTCGCACGCTTCCCCCTCAACCAGGACGCAATTCGGCTGCTGCTTGGCAAGCTGCAGACCGGGGATGTCTACGAGGCCTCGCGGCACTATCCCTTACCGGAGCACAGGTCGCACGGGCTTTCTGCTCAAGCTGGGATGTTGTACGTTGTATTGTTTTTCCAGGTCAAGACGCTCGAGTCCGATGGCATTGCTATGCGGGAGATTGTGGACCGGCATTTCGGCGATGTTTGGGTTGTCGCATATGCGCTGGGGTACACAGCAGATCTGCTGCTCATGTGGGCACCATATCCGGCCGCACGTCAGGCGCTTAGCAACGCGATCACTGCCGGAACAGTGCGTCAGCTTCAAGAGCAGCACCTAGACCGCCTGTCCAAGACACGGTCAAAGCTTGAGGAGTACTTGGTGGAGGGTGTTTTGACGGAGGACTACGTATCTAATAAGGCTTCACAGTTGGTCAATGCGCTCCGCGAGGCCAACACCAGCATCCGTTGGCTTCTCCTGCAACCCACAACCATGGACTCGAAGTTACAGGTGGTTTGCAACAGCAGTGCCAAGATGAAGGAGCAGCTGCTGGGCACATTGGTTGACACAGCACTGCTGGAGGACAAGATCAAAGCCATCTTGGTTCCTCTGGTAGCCCGCCGTGATGCAGATTGGAGTCGTCTTAAGGACGAGGCTGCTCAGGCCATGGACGATTTAGCCGTGTACTTCTCTGGGCAGCACGCCTTGCGCCGGAACGTTCGCAATGCCGAGCTGGAAGATTTCTTCCGTGCGCTGCAGCAGCGTATCGAGGATCTCAGCTTCCAGTCCCAAGAGGACCTCCTTGCACTGGGGAGGAAGGTAGCCCAGATCAACAAAGCTTTGGAGGAGGTTGCACTTTTCCATGAGGTCAGCCAACAGCCTCAAATCCTCCACTTCCTCAGCGATGCGCGTCAGCTTTTGCAGAGGATGCTGCGCACGGCTAACCTTAGTTCAGATGTCCTCGAAACGATCGAGACAGTTGCAGACCTGTCATACGCCTGGCGTGCCTTGGGAACCTACAAGGAAGCCATGGGCAACCTGCTAGCCGCATCGCCAGACAGCGTTAAAGGGCTGCGAGCCTTGTTCCTGAAGCTTGCATCGATCCTGGAAACGCCGCTTCGTCGCATCAAGCAGGCCGGCAACTCCTCTCATGCATCCCTCGTTTCCGGGTATTACTCGGCCAGGCTCGTAGAGTTCATGCGGTCCGTCTTGCAGGAGATCCCGCGCCTGATCTTCCATCTGCTGGGCCAACTATCTACCTTGGAGTCCGCGCAGTTGCCGAAAAGCTTGCCCTCTAGGATAAGCTTGGTGGAGCTTCAAAGCTATGCACAGAAGTGCGAAAAGGCGAGTCATGAGGTCGGAATACTCACGCAGCGCATCGCCTTGCTGATGCGTGGCATCCGCGAGACGGACGTGGCGCTCCTTGGGGCAGTGCTGGTGGAACCCCGTGAGGTTTTGCTCGACGGCCTTCGGAGAGAGTTGGCGCGGCGCATCGAGTCCTTGCTTGCGAGCCTGTCCTGGCCCTGCGGAAGCTCTGGCCGCGAGGACGCCGAAGGCCAGCTGCAACAGGTGGCCGCGCAGGCCTTTAAACTGCGCCGGTCCTTCGAGCACGTTCAAGACTACTTGGGCGTGAGTGCGCAGCAGCTCTGGCGGCAGGAGTTCGGACGTGTTGTGCGGTACCTCCTCCACATGGAGCAGCATCTCCTCCTGAGACGCCGGCCTGCGCCAGCGGAGTCCTCGCCGCACCACGACCCCAGCGTTCCCATCAAGTTTCCCGATATTTCCAACGGGTCACTGGGTGGGTCGTTCATCAGCCGCATGCTGTCCATGCTTCTGGAACTCACGGATCCCAAATCTACAATGGGGGGTTTCCATCACGACTGGCGGAGCCTTCAAACAGGTGCACCAGTGCAGGGTTCAGTAAAACTCCGCATTTCGTTACAGTTCATACTGTACAGATTGCTGACAGTCAACAAGCCACGGATGATCACGAACGAGATACCAGGAGCGTTTATGAACTGACTCAACTCACAGCAAGACCAGGTGCTGCAATGCTGGACAGCTTGCTTCTGGAGCTGCTCATGGAGGCTACCGGGGCCCCTGGCGTAGCGGCCATTTCTCGGATGTCGGGGGACCCCAGCTGCAGCGTGTGCGATGCCACAAATAACATCAACATGCAGCAGCCAGTAGCGTGAAGAGCTCACAGTAGCTGCTCCTTTTGTACCTGCATCTTCGTTGGCGTCAACCCGGTTGCCATGTTTGTCTTTCAGACAAAGGTTGGCCTTACGGGCTGCCGGTCGGGTGCGAAAGGCGTGGGGTGAGCTGTTGGCTATTGAGGTTTCGATTTGTGAGGCCAAGTAGAAAGGCAGTTCTTGCTCGTGCAAGCGCGCAATAATGTGAATGCGCTTCACTTCATGCAACCTTCCCCGCGAATGCCCAAGCTCTGTAAATAAACAGACCCTGCCTTTCTTGAAGGTGCCAGGGTTGCGGTGTGCGGGAGATCTCAAGCATAAAGAATGAAGAGAAACCCGCCCCGATTGAATCATGACCCGAGACAGATTGTGGCAGTAAGCTGGGCTTTTGACTTCATATCGGGAATTGGATCTTGCAAGAATATGTGGCCACGAAAGATGTCAACACGCCTTGCTTCTGGCAGAGGCCGTTTCGGGCTGCGCAGTGCTGCTGGCAGATGCAGAGGTTCAGCAGCTAGCTGCCAAGGCCCCGAAGCGCAAGGCAGTGATTCCCACAATAATACACAATAGCATTATTAATATTATTGTTATTCTTAATCTTAATACTAATTTTGATGTTATGATTAGTAGTAGTATTAGTATTCTTCTTCTTATTATTAGTATTAAAGAAAGTTGAGTTTGACTCCGTCAAGGCAAAGTCGTCCCTCCAAACGAAGACAAGGTCTGCCGCAGAGGCTCGTTCTCCGGGAGCTTTCAAAGCAGGCTTTGTAGATCTGAGCGACGAACTCTACTCAGCTCCAGCGCCCGTTGTTCGGTACTCTTAGCAGGTTTTGTGCAGGCACTTCTGCATATACGTTTGCAGCAGGTTGCAGTTCTTTTGTGGCACTGACACGGCGCTGCCTCTTCTTTGCAGGTGTTGCGGACCTCTGCAGGCCTGCTTTCCAGCCAGGCTCGGAAGTGTCGACCTGACCCGGGGGACCTAGATGCCAGATCACTTAGTACAGCCTACTGAAGGAGAATCAAACAAGCAGCGGGAACCACATCTACAAATCTGTATTTTACTCTCAGTTGGGCCGTGTGGAGGTCGGTCCTCTGGGGGCGGCCTTGGCGAGCGTCGGGCAAGCGGTGCTCGTGCGGCGGCGCCTGGCAGCGCAGCTCAGGCGCGGCGGGGAAGTTTTGGTTCCCCTAACTCTGGAGCTCCGGAGCCTTTGGTCCTCAAGAGTCAGTTGGCCATGGCGGAGATTACAAACAACATGGCAGGCTGCTCTAAGGGCAAAGGCTGGTGAACAGAAGGGAATCTGAGATGCTGACTTCAGCAGACAGTCCCAATGATCTGTTGCGCTCCCAACCCACGAATGCTTCCTCAAGTCTTCCAACGCTGTCCCAGAAGTCCGGCAAACGGAGCTACCACGCTTTCAAGGCTTTCAAAATCCAAGGCCTCGTGTCTGGGCACGTTCAATGCTAGCGCGCCCCAGCCTGAAACCTGAAACCCCAACGGCTTTCCCTCACTCCTAACACCCCGCAGCCGCACCACAGCAGGAGTGCGGGTGTGGGCATGACTGGAAGTGAACGTTCCCAAACTTTTTGCGGTCAAGGCTTGAGGGCTTGAAGAATGCATTTGGATAGCCTTGGATGTTACAAGGAGATGCGCTTCGCACAACACTGCGGAGGGACACAGCCAGGACTTGGGACTTTGACGACGGCTTCCTTAGTCTTCAGTATTCACAGGCCGACCACCGCCAGCCAACACAGCCAACACCGTGGGACTGTCAAATCCTAATCAAATCCTCCAGCTGCTGCTCGTGCTCAAAGCCTGAGTTCACATGTCGCCCTTCAGAGCGTTCTTGTTCCTCAACGCGTGAAGGCAAGCTCGGTGGTCAAAGGCCACAGCGCAAATGGGCACCCACACGTGCGTTGCAAACAGTGTGACCTTTGATCGAGCACCCGGCCGAAGACTGCAGCTTGGCCCACATCCCCCAACACAGTGAGACAGCCCCGAGTAAACTTTCATCAACAGGAAGACAGGTCTGAAATAGTTTCCTTTGATGGGGACACGGTGTGGCGCTTCCGGAATTCTTGTCGGGACTCTCGAGCGGACACTCCATTCTCCGAAGGTAAGCCGTAAATAGACATGACAGCAAAAACTGAAATATTTGAATGGAAATTTAGATTCATCTCGGGGTTGAGCTGTCCAAAAGGGCTTGACTGCAGAACCGCCCCTGCTTAAACCGAAGTCACCCTTTTTGCGACCCTAGCAGCAGCTGGGGCTTTTGTACTAGCGAGGCCGCAGATGACACGACGATAGGGGCCATGCCACGAGAGTCGAAGAGCTGGAGCTCTGACTGCTTGATGTACCTTGTAGCTCAGGCTGCCTTTGCTTAGTGAATTTCTGGGTTCGGGAAGTGTGGGTTTCGGCAGCCAGGTTCCTTGCGACTTTCTGCGGCATGTCTGCCTTTCTGGGATTTCCTGGGCTGGCGAAGGCTACACAGCAGCTTGGATGCCTCTCTCGTCAGCGAGTCTGCAGCTGTCCTGGATGGGAGCGCTGGGCGCTCAGAACACCTCAGAGCACAGCAAGCAAGCTTTAAAGCGCTGCAAATCTATGCTACAGACAGGGCAGCTAGGCAGCTATTCCGATGCCAGAACGGCATCAACAGCTTGGGAGCTCAACCGAAGCTCTTGCATGGAATGCATCGCCCCTGGCTCCGAGGTGCTGTTCGAAGTTCTGGAAGACACGGAGATGTCGGAGGCGGCATCTTTCGATTTTTGCTGCCAGCTCTCTCATGCCTTTTCAGTATACGTTCTCGTTTTCACGCAGATCGATTTAGCTACAACCTGCTGCTAACACCAGATGCTGTAGTTGCCATAGCTGCTCCATGCTGCCCCAGTGAGCACTGTATCATTGTCACAGACTTGAAACACTGCATTGGATCTTGCACGTCGCCTTCAAAAGCTTCCGGCAGTTCCGGGGTCGCTGCTTGTACCCTTCGCCCCAAACAGCGCGCCAACACCAGGGTAAGAGGTGCTAGGTCGATGCGCGCGGGGAGCGCGTCGGCGGCGCGCACTTGCGCTGCGGACCGTGGGTTTTCTCGAGGCCTGGCCGCCCTTGGGATTAAGGGCGCTCTCTCGCCTAGGCAAATTGTCGTCGCATGTCGTCGCTTTTGAACGTCGAGGCTCGCGAAATGCGAAGCTGTCATCACTTTTGGGCTCCCGCTGTTTGGGGTCTCTGCTGGCAGAAAATGACTAGCTGCACGTGTAAGAAGTTTTATGACGTAGAGGTTTGGTTGTCCACATCAACCATCGCAACGTGCCAGAGTGGCCAGAGAGTCCCGCCATGCCAGCGGCTGGCGCATCTGTGTGTATCTTCATCTCTCTAAGCATCTCACTGAGGGTGAGCGACTGGCTTGGATGCATTGGGGCCATGCAGAATGGTCACCGGTCACTGCTTGAAGAAGCGGTTCCCCTTCTGAAAGAATCCTTATCATCTCTTCGGCCCGAGCCGGTGCTTGAAGCTAACAGTTGCAGTGCGACGTGTGCCACCCTCATCGCACAGAGCAAGAAAATCTTGACACAATCGCAGTATAGTATGCTAATGATATGTTATGAATAGTGACCAATGTGGCGAGCTTCTGGAAACTTCAATTGAAAGCCATTCATCGCTGCGCTCGTCGTCTCGTTGCCTTGTCGCTGCGTGGCAGGCGCAGGATGGCCAGCTGCCAAGTCTCTGGGACTTCGTGGGCGACAGCAAGGCGTCTTCTCCAGAGGCCCGAGAGGGATGCGCGCGAGCGCGCGGCGCGCTCCCGCGCGCTCGCTCGCGCGCGGCGCCGGGGGTATGGGGTGCATGCGGGTGTGTGTGTGTGTGTGTGTGTGTGTGTGCGCGTGTGTGTGTGTGTGTGTGTGTGTGTGTGTGTGTGTGTGTGTGGGTGTGTGTGTGTGTGTGTTTCTTGTTTAATGCTTTAATTTGTTCTTAGCCAGAGGCGACCCGTCCTCGCACCCAACGCACAAGTAGATGTTGACAACACCCCGAAACCTTTTGAACTGAGTTTTGCAGAGCTGCCTGAAGAAGCGACGACGAGCGTCGTGAACGTCGGAAGTCGGCTTCGTACTATGATTCGCACATACCTGCACATGCTTGTGTACAGTATCTCCAGTAGTTGAGCTATGCTGAGCTGAGAAGATCGGCACAGGAAACGCAGCTCCGCTTCCGAAGGAAGCTGGCGCGAATGGGGGAGTTGCAGGGTTCCCGGTGTCATGCCAAGTGCCTGAGCTCATCCTGCGAGATGTATGGATCTGAGGGATATGTGCGGCTCGAAGAGAGCACTTTCTAGGAGTTTATGAGTATCTCAGGCCGGGCTTTGCTGATCCCATCCGCCAGCTCATGCAAGTGGTGCCTGAAGGCCAGGCAAGTCTTCGAGAGATCTTAGAGGATGAGCGCATGGATGCTACGGATGCTTGCATCCTGCTGTGGAGGCTCTGCACCCTCCGAGATGGACTTGATGATAGCCCTGGCTCTTGTGCAGTATACCACCTCTGCACCACCTGTTGCTTCCATGAGCCGCAAGGCCGGGCCTTCAGAAGCTGCTTCTACCCGGTATCCTAGGTCAGTAGGCATCTGCATGACATGGTCTGCATGGTGAAAAAGCCCTATCATGCGAAACTCGTATCATGACATGCTTGTGGCGCCATTGTCGCAGTCCCAGTCCCAGAAGCGAACCACTGCGTGGGGTGCGAAGGCCGCCGGGCAGCTCAGTCAAATCGTGCATTCATGATATTCAATGATATTCATGTCACCTCGTGTAGACCCGACATGAAGTCTCAGGCGGCGCCTGCGTCACCCGGCAGTTCCCGTCAGGAGGCTCACTGCTCTCGCGTCCGCGACTGGTGCTCACGTGCTGCACGCTTGCTTCCCACTTGTTGCTGGCTTGCTGCTCTCTGGTTGCTCACTTGCTGCTCGCCTGTTTTGCAGCTGCAGGCACACGTCAGCTTGGGCGCAGGCCTGGCGGCACTGCTCCAGCAGCTGCCACGGAGGATTTTGCAAGGCACGTGGGGTGCCCAGACATGCCCAGACCATCTGGGAACAAACGATAGCAACATCTGAATCTCAGGGTGTCTCGCTTCCGAGGTTTCAGCTTTGTGGGCTGTACCTTCAGAGCATGTGCTCCGGGGAGGACAACAGCCAGGCACGTTTTCTGATTGGAGCCATTGGATCGGCTGTAAGATGTACCGTAACAGGGCTGTAGCGATCAATCTAGTGCGTTGTAGTGAGGATGAGAGACTTGAAACGACTGGAGCACCGCTCCAGGCTTGAAAGAGTGCCGAGAGAGTTTACCGCAAGGCCTGGGCCGATGGTGCCGTGATGATCCAGATCCTGGCGAACTGCCTCGAGATGGGAGCTCATGGGATCTGCTGTGCAATGCTGTCCATCCATGACTGGCATCAATGAGCATAGACATGGCCGAGAACTGCAAGTAGCGCAGTGAGTTTCATGCCGTCATCCTTAGTTCCTTCGAAGAGTCCTAGAAACAACTGTTCTTGTAAGTTGTATACTGAAGCTTGCCGACGGGACAGCTACGCGTACCGCTGCGAACCCCAAAGCCTCGGACCTTCAGTCCTCTACTAAAAGCAACACATATGTGTTGTCTTTAGCGAGGTGGAGCCGTGTACAAGAGGAGTAAGCAGAGTGTAGGAGTACCGTGCAGTTATGTGCAGACAGATCTCGCTCGGCCCTTAAGACCCCTTTGGGCGTCGTGCGGAGCCATGCGGGGGTCCAGCCGCGAGCGCCGGGAGCGCCGGGGGCGCCGGGGTGCAGGTGGCGTTGAGGGCTCCTCATACTCGATTCTCTCCCCCTCCCTCTAACTCCCTCTGACTCGAGGGCGCTTGGATGGCTGAATTCAGCAGTGGCACGCTGCCGACCGCTGGGCTGCTTCGCAAAGATGCGCAATATTTGAGACCTTGTCGCAAGAAGCGGAACTCAGCCTCGAGGTTGCCCACAAGTTTGGCTGTTCATGCAGAGAGCATCCAGAGCGACAGTGCCAGGAATGTTTCTTTGCAGAGAGGCCAGGGGCATGATGGGGGTATGCATCGGTTTATCTCATCCTCATCTCATCTTATCCTTGTGCGGCCTGTCTTTGCAGGACAGCGGTACGGCTTCCGAGGATGCAGCCTCAGGGCAGCTGCTTGAACTTTCCGGTTACGACTTACCCGTAGTTCCGAGGCGACATCGGCTGTTGGACGCCTTCGAAAATGAGGAAAATGTGGGATCACCGCACCAAAGGCCAGGCATTGGGATCACCAACTGGAACCTGCTGGAAGCTTCTGCTCAAGCTGGAAGTCTTCGCGCATAGCCTGGACTCGGGACTTCGGGACTGTTCAGCATGCCATGTGGTGCAAGAGTTGCTCCGAAGTGTTTCCTACCATCTTTTTAGCGAAATTAAGAAGGAGCCTTCAAGCCGAGGGTCGAGGATTGTGAGTTGAAGGCAGCTTGATTTCAGGACTACCAGGGGACCGAACACCCGGTCACCCGCCTGGCACCGAACCTTACGACCTTAAGGGGCGAATGTGGTTTACGAGCTTTTATGGCCTGCGCCATCGTCGCCTCCCACGCTCACACAACCTGCAAGTGGAGTAAACCCCTTAGGAAATTGTATCATGGCCACATGAGGAGTATAGAAAGAGCAGCCAACTGAAGTTTGCATCCCTTGACGGAGACCGCAGGTGAGACGGCGGTGCTCCGCAACCCGTGGGCTTTACGAGACTTCTGTTGCTCGCTTGGACGGACGTCGTCTTGTTGGCAAGGCCGAGCTCGGATGTTTTATGCGGGAATGTGATGGGTTATGGCTTCCACTATCTTGCGAAGGCATAACAGGCACGGTGTCTCAGTCCATGGGCGGGTTCCTTTTCGGTTGCAGGCATGCTGACCTTCAAGCGCTGCTGCACGCAGAGCCGGGCCACAAGTTCGCAGGAACTTGATGCCTCGTGTTGGCCCTCTCCCACAATCACCAAGACGTGCTGCGGTCTACGTCTGGGTCATACCTTGGCCTTGGCTGTAGGGTGCCATGTCCGATTGTTGAAGTGAGAACCAGGCCATGCAAGCCATGCTTCGTGGCAGCAGAGGTCTTTCTGAGCTGTGCACCTCGTCGCTTTGGAGCACTTCGAGCAGCGGTCACGTCCGCGCATGCTGCTCTCGCAAAGTGCCACAGCCCAGGTAGGGCCCCTGACGACTGCTGTTTTGTTCTGCTACAAGTGATACGTTCAGGTCAAATGCATGATCATAGCAGCATGGCTGGCCGGTCTGCCTGCGTCAGGCGGGCAGAAGCTTTCCTAGCCGGCTGCCACCGCAGGCTTCACTACCAGGTGCAGCCTGCATTTATGCCGCCCTCTTCAAGTCGCAGTAATGTGCATTGATACAAGTGACAAGTTGGATATGCCACGATATTGTGAGGAGATAATGCTGCAGCTCGGGGCCCGGATTGTCGGGATGCCGCACCTTCGCCCGGCTAACCTCGGTGCTCTGGAACGGAACTCAGCCTGCCTCGAGATGCCATGACATGAGAACTCCAGAGGGTTTACACACTGAGGTGGCACACTATCACCGAACTGGTGATGCCCTGGTGCCGATGCTGCAAATGCAGGATGCGCTGACTGGCAGCAAAGTGGCGCCCCCGACTGCTGGTGACACCCCAATCGTTTACAACTTTGAGGGGTTCTAGAGAGATGACGACGCGTGCGAAGGTGGATGGGCTGGAGACGTGTGCGCCTGCCATGATGCTCGCAAGGCTCTTGCAGGCGCGCCGTCAGCCTTTGAAAGGCTATTGAAATTCAATGATCCAAACGAAAAAAAGTCCCATGATCGAGTCCCCTTCCCTTGAGACAAAGGTGGAGCGGGACAGCCTTTCAACCAGACCGGCTTTGACAAGGCCACGCCTGCAAGGGCCGCCCAAGTCAATTCCGATGCTGTCGCAGCTGTAAGGTCGAAGCTGCTTCAGCTGAAGGCTTTCTGGTCAAAGTTGCAAAGAGAAGGCAGATGCTGTTGTCAATGTCCATGCCTGTCATGCTGACCTGAAATCTTAAAGCCCACTGAAGAAGCTGGGAACCGGGTAGCTGGAATGTCGGAGGCTTCGCTGCCGAGGCACTGGCCTGGGTGAACGCCAGCAGGGCACCCACTACAGGAGACGTGGGGATGTGCAGGGATTCAGATAGCGGCCAGCGGCGGTACAGCGTGGATACAACATGGACTCTCAACTCTCATGAATGCTGATCTGGGACTTTTCCATCATGTCGATCCAGCCTGCAGCTGCAGGATCTCTGCGTGAAGCCCCGTCGGCAGTTCGGAGCTCAAGGGGAGCAAGTGCCGAGTGCCGAAGTGGTGCTTTTGTGCTAACTCCGGTCGGCCTCAAGATCTCCAAGCTGCCCAAAGGACTGGTTGAATGTGACGAGCGCCAGCATCCGCCAGAGCTTTGAGCGCATTGATGCGCAGGCCTGGTGCTTTGGTGCAGCGCTGTTTGTCTGAATAAGAAAATAACGAAAATTAGTTTCATTATTCTTCTTCTTTTTTCGTATTCTTATTATGATGATTCTGGATATGATTATGATTCCTGTTAGTTTTGTATTGTTATTACCGTTATTATGGGACCTTGGAGCACCTGAGGTCAAGCAGCTTGCCTCGCTGGCAATGCTGCGGCGGAAAATCGGTTTCAAGGCTATCGAGCTCGAACTTCAGTTTTTGTAGCATGGCTGGGCATGTTCAATGTCAAGCAGTGATGATGATTTTCTAGCACTTCTGGTAGGCACGGTTACCCGGAGAAGTTCCACGTAGCTGTATGTCTCAATCCAGCCTGAATGTCGGAGGTGAACGTCGTGATGCCCTTTTGCGCACGAGCAGATGAACAGTACCTGAAGCCGCTGGAGTCCTTGGTACTGCAGGACTGGAGGGTTTGGGGCGCTTGGAGAAGTTTCGGGCTCGGGAATTCTCACCCTACCAAGCTGCATTTCCGTGTGTAGGGCTTCCATGTTCAGGTGTGTGTGCTCTGTTTGCCCCAAAACCTACCCGAGACTGCCCTGAAGCCTGAAGGTCTGGAAGCCGCAGTAAGTCAATGATCTGCACCTTGCTGCTGCACGAGGAGGCACTGCCCTTGACCGAGGCCCTGCGCATGAATCATTATTATTACTACTATTATTGTTATTATTACTATTATTATTGTTTTTATTGCTAGTATTATTATTTTATTTATTTTACTTCTATGACTGTGATTATGATTATGATGATGATTATGATTGTTATGAGGTCGATGATGTGGTATCTCAATCTTGTGGGGCATACATCGGGGTGCAGTCATGTCCGCTTTGTAGAAATTCGTTTCGGTAAGGCTTCATGCAACAGCTCCGGGACTTGTTGCACTGCTTGCACGAATGGTCGGAACTGGAAGAGGTTTTCGAGCTGTACATCTACGATATCTGCTACGGCTTCTTTGATGCCAGCGGCCCTGCCTACAGCTTGGAGAACGAGGCCTGCGTTGATCACACCCGTTGCAATTTCTTGAGCCTCGATATATGTACAAGGCTTCAGAGTTTCAGCGAGTGACTGTCCAGGTAGAAGTGGAGATCGATCTTTCCTCGGGGGCCGAGCATCCAGGCTCTTTTGCCAGAGAGTTGGGCCTAACCACCTGCGACACTGTGAGCAGACATGAAACAAGGGCTGACGAAAGGTGACAAGAACAAGCTTACCAAAAACACACAATCCCGAGACCCCACCTGCTGCAGAGGGTCGCAGTACTCCGTGCTGGCGCCATCCTCGTTGCTGCGTGTGGCCAGGTACTTCAGGCCTGTCAGTTGTGTTTGCAGACCTTGGGATGACCCATGATGACCCGATCGACCTGGGGGCGATGAGGCGCGCGTTCATCATCCCCTTCCACGAGGTGCGTGTTGCAATGTGCGCGGCGTTAAGAGGCTCCTCGAGCCATACGTAGCCACGATGCGATGCCAGACAAGCTGGAAAGATTTTCGCCTGTGGTTGAAGCAATTCGGGTCGGTGCGGACACAAGCAAACGCCTGTTGCTGCACGGTTTTGATACCTGTACCCACTGTCCCTTCTGCGATCTGAAGCAGGAGATGCCAACTGGCGAGATCGCCCCGAACCTGCACCATGTCGCGCAGCACTATGACGATTTGCCAGACGTGGTCTTAGTGTTGGTCAGATCATGTCAGATCTTCGTCAGCATCCAGGTGTGCTTCGACGGGAGATATGTGACAAGACCTCGATTGCGAGGATTTCATGATGTTCATCCACGCTGATGTCTACGAGCACGTGGAAGTCTCGGCGTTGGTGTCGGTCCTCAACTCTCTGGCGTTGAGGCTCTCTCTCTTCTCCCTCTCTTTCTCTTTGTCTCTCTTGGTTTTCTCTCTTGATACACGCATACACACACACACAGAGACACACAGCTTGTACTTCGTTTCAACGAGTACTCGTACCTATATACACATATGTCATGTATAGAATAAACGACATATGCATGGAAGTACAGTCGTCATTTTTGTATGTGCATATCTGCACATACGCCTGAATTCATCGCGTATAACAGCCAACAGCATTATGACTTTGCGGAAACGCGGCGCAACGGCCGACCACCACTGCCCAACCCAACCCCTCTGGGTGGGGTTTCCAGTCAACTACCCGCAGCATGGCCGAGCCTCCATCGGTCCCAAGGAAGTCCCTACTATTCCCTCCAGGGGGGGGGGTCTGTGCGGGGAGTCCAATTTTGAGGCTTTTGGGGTGCGCCTCTCAGGGTCTTAGGGCGTCTGCAGGGTGTCGGCAGAATAGCTTGGATTTGCGTGCCTGTGCTCAGCAGGCCGGTCAGGCCGAGGAATCCGATGCCCAGCAGCTGAGATTGTTTCGGTTCTCCATGCAACATCATGCAGCGCCATCCAAGAATGCCGGGTACACATGAGGGGCCGCCCAAGGGGACTAACTGCAAGGAAGGGGTAACATGGCCTCCCTACAGCAACCTCTGAACGCCCACGGCTGGGGCCGCGAGGCGAGTTTCTTGAGTTACACTTTGTAAAACGTGACGAAACTTGACATGAAGCCTTCGTGAGGCTTTGGCCCCGTGAACTACCCTTCGTGCATTTGGGCCGGCGGCACAACGGTCCCACCGATGCGCTGGGGGCCCAGGCGCTGTGAGGTCGGACAGAGAAGCCTTCGGCCCTTTTGTGTGGCTCTTCACCTTCGCATGGTTCCATGCCATCTGCTTTGTTTGAGTGGCACTTCCACGACTGAGGTCAGGGCGCGTAGCATCTGAGCTACGGACCTATTGCCGAATGCGAGCAGCCCGGGAGGCAGGCCCCGACAACCTCGTGCTATCTTGTTGCTGCATCATGCTGATGCATCATGCTGAATCCAGTATTCAGGGCTCGAAGCGGAGGATGAAAAAGCCATCGATCTTCCGAGGAGACAGCAAGACTGCCACAGGATGTGTCCTGGAACTCTCACCAGTGCCATTGCAGTGTTGAGACGGCGATAGCTTGCAAACTTTGTTGGCATCTGGCAGGAGACTCTGTCTTGGAGCGTTGCTCTGCCCGTACACCATCAGGCAGTGCTTCACATGTAAGTGCGAGCTGGCTAAGAACAGGAATGGGAAGTTCAAGCAGAAGCTATTATAAGATACATATGACATGTATCAATATTCGGTATATGCTGCCATTGTTTTCCATGGGCAGCGGGGGTGAGTTTCCACGGCGCAAGGTCAAAGACAACTTGAATTCTGTCAGAAACAACTCTCATCAATTGACCAACAATTGACCGAATGTAGCCAGAAATTAGCAAGGCCTCGGTTGATTCCTGCGTGGTAGCCACTCAACATGCCTCTTGCATCCCTTGGGCAGGTTGGTATTGTCAGTGGGTGGAGTTGGCCTGGGAGCTATTGTTCGACAGCCCACCACAGCTTCCGCAGGCTCTGGCACAGAAGACTGGTTTGAAAGACTGGTCCAACGACGCGAATCTTCTTCAGATGCTAGCTGATCCAGGACGACTACGGCGGCTATGACTACGGTCAGTTCGTCGCCAGCCGTCAAGCCGCTCAAAGCAGGCCAAAGGCGCGCTGGCTCTCCTCCCCCTTGCGGTGCGGCTAGATTCGCGGCTGTTTCGTCTTTCCTTGTTGCCGCTGCATCTTTTCGCAGCTTCTGGGAGCAGTTTTCGAAAGATGTTGCTGCGCTTATCAGGCATTCTGGCAGAAGGGCTGGCGGGCTTTGTGTAGTTCGTGCCTGAATTGCTGCATGTGTTGCGTTTGTTGCACCGGAGCACGCGCTGTGTCCCATTCCTTTCTCTGTTCATTGCGGCAAGAAGCTCCAGGTGGCAGCAACTACCGCTTGCTTCCTGGAACATCGTTTGTTTCGTGGAAGGACCGTTGCTTCGCCCTCGACATAATTTGTGTCTATGTGTTGCCAGGACCTGACTGCAAGCGATGCAAGCGAGGGCGCGAGGTTCACCTGGCACGGCTTCCATAAGGCCCTGCATTCCTTGGCTTCACTTTCGCAGTCTGTACAATGTAAGAGTGCGGTATCGCGGTGTGCATTGGTTCACAGGGATTGGAGATGGCTTTCGAGCACCTTTGGCACGTGATCTTCAATCCGCGGGCTCTGCCGGCCTGTCCTTCATGTGCAGAAAGGTTTTCTTTGGGTGACAGGGTTTCATGAGTGTGACACTGAGACCGAAGAGAGCATAAGTCTCAAGTCTTTGGAATCCTTGCCTTATGGCCGCTCTCCTCGCGGTATTTTCTTCGGTTCACATGGCTCTTTGGCAGTCTTTCAGGGTGATGTGGCAAGGTTCCGAGGGGTATCGAGGGATGAGAAAGAGTCATCGCTGAACCGTAGACGTGCAGACCCAACCTATAATTCAAGGTGTGGTAGTAGGTTGGGACACGTGCCACATGCCAAGTGAACAGGCATGACTATGAATGGTTCTCAAACCCCAAAACGCCAGGCCTCCAGCTGGCTTTGGCCGAGCAGGCTAAGGGATCCATCGCTGCCTCTTGGGCTGAAGTTTGCCATGCCTGGCAATCCGGCACTGTCGATGCCTGAGTTAGCTGAACTGTCCGGGCCACGCATTTCTGTGAGTGTAGCCGAGCTGAAGCTAAGGCTTCGATTCTATCGCTGGACGCCGCACGATCCGCTTTAGGCGTGAACATCTCGTGCATGGTGCGAAAAGGTGTGCTCTTCAACGCTGGCATCAATGTTGTTTGTCCTTCTTGGCAAGACTGCTTGAAGAGTTGTCGTCTGATTGCAGCTTTTTGGTTATTCTTGAGCACAATGGATTCCCCTGGATTCGTCACTGGCCCGAGGTTGTTGGGCTTTCCGAGGGCACATCTTGCAGAGTTCGTGCCGCAGGGCCTGCCATTGCCTTGGTCATGACAAAGGTCTGTAGTCTTGGTATCATGCTGTCGGTGAGCCAGGAAAGCTACACGCAGTTGACACGGCACGATTCCGCTGATGTGTTGCACGATGGGGTCGTTCGGAGCGTGAATTCGGAAGGCAGAGCTGGGACTTGCATTGCTGGGCCGCTCTGGGTCACAACGAGCGGTAAGATCAGGGAGTACTTACAGTGTTACAGTACCCAGCAGCCTTGCATGAGTTTACAACTCACAGGTATCTTGCATCCACAGGTCGAACAACGAATAGCTTGATCGCCGTTATCCGCCTCGCGCGCCAAGGCTGGACATCTGGCCGGGCGAGTGACGCCCTTGTTGCTTTGCGTTAATGCGATCTTGGCCCGCCGGCCTTCGCACTGGTAGCTGAGGACTTCTTTCTTCAGGGTCTGCATAAACACCTAAGTCCCAACACAGGCTCAGAAAGATGACCTCCCAAGTGCGAGAACTCTATCGCTTTAGAAAGGGAACGTGACCACATGCAGCTTGCGCTGCTATTGCCGCTTGTGTGACCGGCGGTTGCTGAAACTGGGAGTTCTTGTTGGGCTTGCCCCATTGCCTTGCACTAGCGACGCCACACAGTGGTCCGAAGGTTTGCACATGCGTTTATTGACATGGTGACGTCCATTTCGAAATTGCACCTGAGAGCAGGGCAGGCAAAGCATGAAACAACAAACGCCAGTCATCAGTCGTAGAAGCTTTAGAAGTGTAGTTGTTGAGACAACTGCTGGGCCATGGCCAGCATCGCATGTCCGACAACACTCAGGCCAGAAACGCCATGCGGGCTAATGGAGCCCAAGCTGAAGGGGCTATTGCCCGACCTCCTTTGCTCGATTCGTGTCAGGCCGTGGCAAGTCTCAGGCTCAGGCGCGCGCTGCGCACTCGCCGAAGGAGTCGGCACATGTCTTCAACTTCGCCTTCGTTGGAGGTTTAGGCCGTAGCTGTGAAGTCGTTCCAGGACGATCGGCCTCTCCCAAGTCCATTTCAAGAGGCCTTTGTCTTTCTGTTCGCTCCCAAAAGCACGAAACCCACGAACTTGCGTCACCGTTTTGAGCCCATGGAGGCACCTTGCAGCTCAAAAGTGCCTTCTGTGCTGCAGCTACTTGGGCTTCGGTTTGTTGATTTGTGGTTTGGAGGCGTGGTTCGGAGTTCAGGGCACGAGCTCCATGCGTGTTAAGAGGTGAGGTTGAGGTCTGCGCAGTTCAGATCAAGTTTCTGCTTCGGCTATATTGTGGAACGTCTGTGGCGCGCCTCTCTCTCTCTACACATGCAAGTGCACCTCGCCTTACCTCAACCATGTTGTTTGCGAGGTTGCTGCAGGTGTGAAGCTGCGAAGGCAGCGCTGGCAAGATAGGCACGTGATTTTGCGCTCAGACAAGATTCATTCCATTCCACTTCCGTAGCACGCTGTGGCGGCTGTGGCGGTGAAGCGAAGCAGACAGGCGCCCGCCACAAGAGTCAAGACAAGTATTCCGAGCAACTGACAAAGGCCTGGCTGAGAAATGGTGGTTCTAGGCTTGCCTCCCTTCAGAAGGGAGGCTGAAGGCTAATATGGGCAATTTTGCAAATTTCGGGTGTTTTGAAGTATACCTCTCAAAATAAATCAAAATATTGTAACTGTTAGAATTCTGATTGCCGGAGTCCCCAAACTGGAGGATACTAGCTGATGGGCTGGGACAATAGATGGGTTCAGTTCCAAACTAGGGTCCCCTTGTGGGAGCCTCTTCTTTGCACGTACGCCCTCACCCCCCCCCCCCCCCCCCCCCCCAGAAAATTTACAGCATCTTGAGTGTTTTTTTGCAGAGCGTTGTCATCTTTCTGTTCCATCTCTCTAAAGACAGGAGTAAGACAGTACTGGCATTTCTGAGCACATGCTGGAGGCCTCAGTATGCAGTCGAAGTGGCAGGATCCACAGGAGACATGTCAGGTCTTAGGAATTGTGCAAGAGATCTCCAGACAGACCCCATAGAGCGTGCTAAGCCAGAACATGCACATGCCCATGCAAATCCAATCTTTTGTATGGAGATCCCATCTCATCAATATACCATGATCTACATTTTGAAACCTAAGTGTTTTACAACATCTTCCGTTTCACGTGTAAATCCTCCCGGCAAATCCTTTCGTTCCGCACGGTTTGCATGTCTGTCCTGTTTGACGGCCTTCTAGACTGCTCTGATGCTGACCATGTAGCTCGCACAGACACAGAAAGAACAAAACAGAAAGAGGCTTCTAAGCACACTGAACGTGCTTTGATAAAGGATGCCCCGAAGGGGACCCAAATTTAGACTGTCAACCCACCCCCCTCCCTCCCTTCCTGTGGGAGCCCAACGACCCCACATATAGCTACCCATGAACCTCCTAAACACTACCCTAAACAGTCGTCCCTAAATCCTACAGTTCAGAAGCAGCATCGTCCATACCTCTGGCGGGCCTTGCTGCGAGCAGGTAGCAGTGAAGCTCAAGCATCTCCAGAGCTTGGCGAGCTTGTGCCCAAGAGGAGATCGTCTCTTTGAGTGTCAGGCTGGGGTGTGTTTTATTGAGGCACGGGCGCCTGTTTAGAGAGCTTGCTGTGGATCTTTAAGTCTTTCGCATGGTGAGCTCCTTCAGGTGGTTCTGCGCCAGTCAGCCTGCCAAGGTGGTGCGCCCTGTACATAAACCTACAGAGACGATCTGATCGCAAAGGCCCTGCTGCCTGTGCTGTTCTGTCTGCCATGCCTTTTTTTACTCACAAACTCTCCTTCCCTGGGACTTGCAACCCTGCAGCCACCATCCCCTCATCAACTCCTGCACCAATCGCGCTGAGTCACACAGCCCGAGCTAAACAGAAGCGTTGCAGCCTGCGCCGTCGTTGAAGGATTTGCCCTCAGCCACTAAGCCATTTAAACTTCAGTAAACAGTTCTCTGCACACTTCTGGGTGCCCGCAGAGCGACTTCACTCGCTGCTGGCCAAAGCCAACGAGCCGCTCCTCCGGCGCCTGGAGCGCGTGGAGGCGGATCATAATGGCTAAAGGGGCCGAGTTATCATGACGATCCCACAAAGGGACCAAAACTGTTTCGAGAGCGGACCATCTGAGTGGTTGAAAGCAGAGCCCTGCAAAACCCATTTGGCATGTCAGGGTCTGCTCCACAGTTGTGTATTTAAGCTGCGGCCACAGGCCATCGACAAGCTGGCTTTGTCTTTGGATGATGAGGCCTGCGCCACGCAACGCAGCTCTGTATAGCACTCGCGAATCACTATCTTGCAGTGTCAAAAAGCAAGTCTGTAGATGCGGGTGTCTGGAGGTGGTCGTGGAGGCTGTGGGCCCCTACGCTCTGGAGCGTGCCAGGCCGGCAACAATTCCCCGAGTTGCCGACCCGATGTGACGAGGTGTGTGCGTGTGTCACCGTAAATTGCACAAACCGGTTGCGGTGGCAGGCGCGCGTTAGATGAGGAGCACTACACCATCGTTCACGATGAAGCCTGGATCTAAGCGACCAAGTGCCAGCAGAGCTATATGCGTGTCCAAACACCTGCCCTATGCAATCCAATCAGCAAGAGCGCAGAAGGGAAACATTCAAAGCCATTCATGGACTGGCTTTGTGGGTCCAAGCCTGTCATCCCAGCGGCAAGGAAGGGAATCTGGTTCACTTCGATGACCACCTAACAGTGGGCGGCATTGCCTGTGCACTATCCCATCGTTTGGCGCTCGAGCGTGGGGTGCTTATTGCCGAACAGTGAAGGAACGGAAGCTGCTCTCGATTTGCCAAGTCATGCAAGTCTTTCAACTTCGTGACATCGACAATTGGCCGGTGCTTCGATCGAGGCATTGCCACACACCCCACAGCTGAGTGGGGCCTCGTTTTGGAGGAGGGGTCGCAGGGTTTAGAGCCATGAGTATCATTGGCAATTTTGCATGTTACATATCGAATATATCATGCAGTATCAGATCGTGTCATGTTTTTTGTTTCGTCATATCATATGTATGTGTATGTATGTATGTATCTATGTATGTATGTATGTATGTATGTATGTATGTATGTATGTATGTATGTATGTATGTATGTATGTATGTATGTACATATATACATATACATATACATTATACACATATATATACAGTAAGGCCACGGTTCGTGTAGGTTCGTTTCGGTTTCCGGGAACATACTCTGGAACGGTTCCGGTTCATGCGGTTCGCTGCGGCGCGGTTCGGTTCGGTTCGGTTCGGTTCGGGTGCCAACCCCCCCCAGCCCCTCCAGCCCCTCAGCTGGAGGGGAGGGGCTGGGCTGGAGGGGGCTGGAGGGGCTGGGGGCCTGGAGGGCTTGGAGGGGTTTGGGGGGGCTGGGGGGCTGGAGGGTCTGGAGGGGTTAAGGCCTTGGCTTGAGATTCGGTTCCATGGCGGTTCGTGTTTGTCGCGGTTTCGGCGGTTCACGGTTCACACGGTTCTTTCGCGCGTGCGGTTCCTGGCGGTTCGGTTCCGGTTTGCGGTTCGGTTCGCGGCTTTCCTGTATATATATATATATATATCAAGGGCTGGCATCTTCTTTCATGAGACGGGTGATTGCAGCAGAGTCCTTGTTGACTTGCGTCAGCATGCTCATCGGTCTTTGGTCTTTGTGGACTTGAGGTGCCTATGACTCACTTGTTGCTTCTGATGAACCAACCCCTCTCCACAGCACGACAGCCTTTCCCGAAGCGCGTCTGCTTTGCGTGGTAGGAGTTGAGCTTGGGAAGGGCTTTAGTGCTCCTCATGGCTGCCAGGAGGTTTGTTGAGGACGCTTTCGATGGCCCACGTATTTCCCTAAGGTTTAAGGCGTTCTGTCTGTTGCTCTGTGGATTCGAGGGCCATTGAAGTGCCTTCTTTTCATTAAACAGGGTGAACCCTCAACGCGCCGAACCTTAAGTCGCCAAGCCATCCCTCTGAGCTTATTGAGTGTATGTAGGTGAAGGGCTGCTCTTGATGTTCACGTTGGGTCAGTGCCCGCGGTGCGAGAAAAAGTGCCCGCCCTCACCTCCAGAGTGCCCACCCCCCAGATATCCCAACAGTGTCCCAGAGCACCGACTACCAGTAGGATGCAGGGTGGGGGTGTTCGAAGTCGTCATGAAGTTCATGTCCACTTGCGCAGGACGATGTCAATGCTGTTGTCCCGCGCGTAGACCTGGCCATCTCCAAGCTCTTGCAAGCGCCCCGGAGAGCAGGGAAGAGGGGGGGGTTCCGGGGGGGGCATCCTCAGCATTCTGCTTTTTTGGCAGGAAAGAGCTGCCCGAAGACTGGGATGCTGTCTGCCTGGCCTACCATGACCCTCGTGGGAGGTGCCCTGCTTCCTTTCGCACACTGCGCAAGTGTAGTCACTGCGAGAACCTGTGCAATTGGCAGACCTCTGCAGGGTGCACCCGCTCGCTGTCGACGAAAACCCAGTGGACGAGTCCTTCGACGGCGCAGAGGTCGAGCTGATCGAGCGCCTCTCTGAGCTCCTCTTCGCCCACGCTCTGTGGGCTTTGCATGGCTTTGCGTCATTTTTTGCGTGTCATCTTGTCATCTTGGGCTTCGCCATTTCCCCCCAGCTCCCCCTTAGGTCGCACGGGCATGTCTTCGGCCTTGGGGCTTGGATGGTGCCCTGGATGCCCTGGCACCAATCCTGGCAAGAATAGACCAATACCCAGGAGTTGCTCTGGGAGGGTTACTCTGTGTGTGTGTGTGTGTGTGTGTGGCGGATGCGGGTCCTGCGTCTTCCAGTGCTTCCTGCATCCAAGGTCCGCAAGGAAGCTGCCCAGGAGCTGGTAGAGCATGCCTTCCCCATTGAAAGCCAGGCAGGATGCTCGGTCAAACGTCATCCTGTGAGAAGATGGGCGCTTTGTTTGCTGAGGTGGACTTTACCCTCACCAACTGGCTGGCTCGAAACGGAAGGTGCAGGGTGCGATCGTACTGTGCGTACTATGGATGAGCTTCAACCACCGGAGGCGTTTCTGGAAAGTGGATCCCACCAACTTGCTGTTCTATGCGCCCTCTAGTGAGGAGGACCTTTGAAGTCCTGTGTGGGTGCAGGCTCGCGGTTCTGTGCCTTTACGGATCTTCACGGGCTCCAAGGAGATGGATTCAGACGTGCAGACAATGGTTCCTATCGCGGAGATAGCGGCGGCCCCAGGCTTGCGCCGTGGCATCCTGTTACCTACGCCAAAATGAGTGCGGCATGCAGAGTCTCGCATGTCGGACAGGCATCACAACTTGCAATCCCAAGCCCTTCCCGTCTTGTCAACAAGGGGCACTAAAGCAATAAGCTTTAGGCAGGGTGCAGACCAAGGTTGAAGGGGCAAAGGGGCTTTCAGTTCTGCCCACAAGACTTCACCGATCGACGGATACCCTGCAATCACAATTAGGTCAGCTGGGGACATGGCTGGGTTCTTGCCTTGCTGATTGCTGAGGAAGAGCAGCACGAATCCCTGCAGGCCTATATCGACTACATGAATGGCAGGACGCGAACATACGTGCATCATGCTTGCATCATCCTTCGTGGCATAGCAAAAGCACAGCTCAGGCAAACATGGTTCCACTGCGTCCGATAGAGTCTGGGTCAAGCCTTCATGACTGTCTCACCTTGCAAAATCCGTGCAGGAAACTACAAAAGATGCCCAAAGCAAACCTGAAGGAAGAGCCCCTCTGCAGTTTTGCGATGAGTGCATCGTCCAGGACTGCGGATCCCTATGAAGACTGGGACCTAGACCTGGATTTGGACTACGGTCGCGGGCCCACCATACTTTCGGGTTGTCGACGACCAGGGAGTGGAATTTCCCATCTCGGTTTGACTCTGCAAGGTGCCCAGCAGTTCGACGAGGAGGAGTGGATTCGACAATGGCAGGAAGCAAGGTACGAGGACCGTCTCCCCAGACCCACGTCGCTTTGTTGCCGCTAGCCACTAGCAATGGGGCCATGGCCCTTGCTTGATCGGCTTACCAGGAATACTATGGCAGCTCGAGGTCCGAAGGCTTCTTGGCATTGGCTGAATCCGGGCTCGTGCTGCCAGCTTCAAGAACTCGTTTTTGAGTATTTGGAGATCTCCTCTGGAGAATGGCCAGGCTGATCCCCTTCGCCGCGAAAAAGCACAGGGCTGCACTCTGCTGAGGAAAATGCGAAGGCTCGCGCAGGCAAGGCTTGAGTTTTTTTGAGGCCACTGAGGATGGTACAATATGGGAATGAGTCAAAAGCACAGGGCCTACAACAGGTTTGGCAGCCTTTTTGCGACCAGAATTCGTCTCAAAACCCTTCTGCTCGCGACAAACCCGTTAGTACTCCTAACGTGAAAGGCTTAGCATCCTTGTTCTCCGAACGCCCGTCAGTTCCTGAAAACAAAGTTGCCGGCGAAAGACGGAGCTTGGAACAGCGTGATCGGATTTGAGTCCGCGCCGTGTCAGCGTGCGGAGCCCCCCAAGGAGAGTCATGTTCGCACCGTGGCACTCTCGGGTATCCCTCGATGCTCGAGCTGTCAGGGCCCGGAGTCAGGGCTACTCTGCAGGAGGGTGTAAAAGGTCACAGCATGGACGAGGTGGCATCTCATTAATTTTGTACCCGAACTTTCAGCTGACTGTCTTGCAGTAGTGCAGGCTGCAGCACGTAGCATGACATGGGTCTGGTGTCTGGTCACAGCATGGGCCAGAAGAAGTGACAGCAGACCAGAAAGTGCAAGCAGCCTTTCCAGTAGATACTAGATGAATTTAGTGACGAGCCGCTGCGATGGACCTGGTTCGCCTTGCCACGCTGGGCATCGTAGGCGCGGTGATTGATGCCATCCAGCTACGACCGTGAGTCCTGCTGCAATCTGCTGCAGTACTCAGTACCCTATGCCATGTGAGTGCGATGATAGCGATTGCGAGTGGCGATAATTATTCGTGATGGAGCTGCCTGCAGGTGCTGCTGGCCTGGAGGTGACGACTCCCTGGTGTTTCCTGCGCATCACCGTATGTCACCGTATTGGGTTCATGGATGTCTCATGAGGTTTCGAGTTTGTTTCGTCATGCGCCCTCCATGCATCAGACCGTTCCTGTCATGCTGGCTCGAGTTGGAGAGACCGTCCTCTTACATGCTGGGCGCAGAACAGCCGCAATCAAAACTTGCCGCCAACAAGAATCTCTGAATGGTCATAATCCTAATCTTGTGGTCATGAAGTGACTAGTGTGGCCAGAACTGGTACTGGAAAGACACTCAGAACGTGCATCTCGCACGTCAGCTTCCTTAGAACACTTAAATCTGCCATGGTCCGAAGCGTCGCTCTCGCGTTGCTTTCGGCCCGCAGACTGAAATTGAGGTCTAGGATCACCGTAATGCCCACCGCAGCATGTTTCCGCAACCTTTCGCATGCTTCTTGGAAGTACCCTACACAAAATGCGCAAGATACGGGGTTCGAAGGGCTAGCGAGTTGCAGACATGCATGCTATCGCTGCTTATTGCGTGTATATCCTGTTCAGGCGTCCAAACATCATGAAAAGAAGCCGCCATGTCTAGCGCTACCGACAGTATTAGCGGCCTTCCAACTTGGGCATGGATGGGACTGTGTCTGGGGGTATGTTGTATGGAAGTGATCATCCCCATGTTGCATCGATTACCAATCATGTGGGTAAGGCAGGCACATGGCCGGCCTTCCTTTAATTTTCCCCCTGCGTCCCCAAGAGTGTGTGCAGCCTTCTCTTAAGGTCCATGCTGCAGCGGACCTCAATCCGGGGGACATGGCGGATGCGTGCTCTGCCAAAGCGGAGGGGTTGTTCTTTCAGGGAGCTTGGCATTTTGTTGCGGCAAGACCTGCCTCTCGCATTCTGATGCGGGCTCATAGCCGTGGCTCGCAAGGCCGGCTTTTCCGCCCTTATTTCGGGAGTCGATCTCATGGCCGTACCAAAAGAAAGGAAAAAAACAAGGGACGCAATCTTCCCTTGGAGGTCATCATGTCCTCACCGGGTGTAGGGTTTAGCGCTTTGCGTTCGCCACAGATGTTATTCTTCGGGGTTTCGCCCCCATCTCCTTTTAGAACCTTGAGCTTTCTGGCTTGATTCATGGTTTTCCCACCATGTCCATGTCATGCTATCCTCGCCCCTGACGGGTTACCCCTTGTAAGCCCAGCTCAAGTTTGGTCAGCGACTTCATTCCTTCTCGCGCAGCTTGTCTTTTTTGACCCGTGCATGCTTCCCGACTGACGGGCCCTTTTGTCCTGGACTCACGCTTCGTTTTTTTCACACATGGGCCTTCAACCCTATCCTGCACCTTGTGATTGTATGAGCTTTAACAGAAAAGGTACGTAGAAACCTTGGGTCATGAAATGCAGCCGAAGGTACTTCGGTTCCATGACCTCCCCAAGCATCTCGGGCGCATGCAAAGGTGGTGAGGCCTGGTTCTGGGAGAAGTTGACACAGACTCCCATGCCCAGACAAGAAGGGCTTGCTTTGCTGTGTAGGTTAGTAGGGAGATTTGGGCATGTTGCGTTTCTGGCTCTCGCAGTGTGAACGTTCAACAGCGACACTTGCTGCAGTTGGCAAGCCATGCAATTAAAGGTCAGCACCCTGACCGTTAACCGATGTTAACCGTACGCATGCAGGCGTGCTGCCCCCAGTCGCAATGCATACCAGCTGGGCCCTTAGGTCTTGAACCATCTTGAGTATTGATGGATCTTCAGTCCTATGTGGAAAAGTGCCTCGGGTGCTAGTGTTGGTCGGGGTGGAGGGTGCGCATGGGAGAGTCTTTTCAATCGAGCCTAGTGATCTTTGCTACGAAGCCTATGGGAATGCCAGTGGAGATGGCTTGGCAGGCTTGGAGAATGTCATTATGCATATGTATGTAAAAACACACACATATACATATATATATATATATATGTATATATATATATATATCATGCAGAATGGCACATTATATCATACAATATTACGCATACATATCACAAAATTATTGTTTACAACATTGTATATTGTTCAATGTGTCGTCTCATCCTATCGCTGCGAACGAGAGCGATGGTCCCGGTGCCTTCTGTGGCATTTGACCGGCCAAGGGCCTGGAAGTCTTCAGTGGCTGCAACAAAGATCGCGGGCAAACTGTCTGTGTCGCATCCACGGCCTGCCCGGCAGTTCAGAAGTCGGGATTTGGGTGGGGTTTTGAATTGGGATTGGGACAGATTGGGTTCGGATTTTATGCTTCAGTGACTGAGGAACAATCGGCTGTGTTGAAGCCTGCTGGTTGCTCAAAAACCCACGCCCGGAGCCTGAACCCATGTCCACAGCTGCAAGTTTCCCAACACCTTCTTGGCATTCTTTGGCAGGAATCCGAGCTATGGCCGCTGAAAAATGGCATTTGCCGTGCGGCTGCCCAGATCTACACTCTACAGCAGATCACACAAGACGACATGTAGGAGGATCTTGGACGGTGCTGGGAAGTGTTGACAGGAGTCTCGGACCCTTCCGAAAACTTCATTAGATCCCTACTCCACGCTGGTGTGCCCACCACCAAGAATGTGGCACTGGCTACTCTTGCGCAACTGGAGACTGCGCGGTGCCCGGCAAGATGTTATAATCCAACCATGATGATTCAGAAGATGCTGGAGATCCAAGGCCTAAAAACGAATGCAAGCACATTGCGGCCCCTACCGCCACTCCACCCGAACACACTTGGGCAGCTCTATGAGAAGCAGCAGGCGGGGAGTGTGGACCCAGGCCCAACCTTCAGAGTGGCCTGTTGCAGCTCAAGGGAGCAAGACGTAAGCACCAGAGCCAGAAAATGGTCCGCCAGGTGTCGTGGTACTGGAACGCCGCTGCAGTGAATATTTCACTGATGGCAGCAGGTGCCAGCTGCTGGCACAGCCTGAACCTGAACCTTGAAACCCCCAACTCCATGGTTTCTTATGGGAAACCCACATCGAGCCGGTGGCGAATTGTTTCCACATGCTGCGGCCTCTGCCGGGCTTTTCTCCACAGGGAAACTGAAAACGTGCCAGCTGCGTCTAGCAAGAACTGACTGCTAAATGTGTCTGTGCGCGAGGTGGCTTTCATCTCTTCCTTTACGTATTTCACTGTACTAGGGAATGCTTTACTAATATCACGTCGGGGAAGCGATTAGGCTTGCCTTAGGAGAACGCGTGGCGCTCCCAGCGCGCTCAGACCCAAGCCCAAGCTTGTCATGTGCAGGTCTTTGTGTCGTCCTGTTGTTCACCTTGCTGACTGTTCGGACATGGCCTCAGAATCCGTAAAACACTCAGCAGCTTCAGCCTAAGCCCGTGTCCATGAGCCCAGCGAGCCCATACTCTCGACCGAGGTGGACGCTGCGTGCCCTTGAGCACACGGAGGCGCGCCACGGCGACAGCAACCTCAGACGCTTTGTAGTAGCTACTGTAAGGCTTACTGTAAGGTCCCATAGCAGTTTCGGGAGTTGATGGGCTTCGTCGTTGAGGAAAGCTAATAATATCACCAGAATCCCCAAGTTGACCCCTCGCCCGCTTGTCAGTTGCACTCGCCTGTAGACATATTCGCAGGATCAGGAGAGCATGATGACGGAGAGCCGCCCGGGCCCTTGCTTCTGTCTCAAAACGCAAGAAAGTATGCGTCCTGAGTCCTAAGTGGCAGGAAATGCTTGGATATGCTGCACTGAGGGCCCTTTGAACATCCCTGCGCCTTGCCACTATTAAACTGATTTGATGAACTTGCCGATTTGTGGCAGGCCCCCTGGTCTGTGACGTCTTCGAGGCGGACTTGGAGGCATAGCCAGTTGAAACTTGCTATGGTACAACCAACACCTGTGACTTGGCATGTCCGGAGCCCCCCCCGCACCCCAAGTTGAGGTTCCCACTCCGATTTAAGCACGTATATTTGGGCGAGCCCACGGATGCCCGATTTACTCAGCTCGGCTGTAAGGCCCAGCACAGTGCACTAAGTGGCTGAGTCCAGGCCGAGAATGACCCACCGCTCATGGTCCCACCGCCAGGCTGAGCCGGCGGCCGCCTCAGCCACGCCTAAGCACCCAACATGTGATAGAGTGCCCGTCCCATAGGTCTCACTGCCTAAGGATTCTTAAAGGGCCCCTGGGAAGTGACGGAGTGACCTCGCCTGAGTCGAAAAGAAGAAAGCCAAGAGTCAGAGTCGGCTCGGACCCGACTACAGAGAGAACCCCGGAAGTCCTGCAAAGCCCAGAGATGTCCTAGGGTTTAGGAATTTAGGGTTCAGGGTTAGGGTTTGAGGGTCTAATTAGGGTTTATTAGGGCCCCGCAGAGAAAACCCCGGAAGTCCCTCAAGTTCATGCTCTCGGATGTGCCAGGGTTCAGGCTTTTAGGGTTTGGCGTTTGGGATTTTCGGGTTTTGGGTTTACAGGCTTCAGCGCCTGTGTCATGCGCTCCTGCTTCGGAGTGGTTTTCCCGCTGGCTTGGGGCTTGAGCGTGTGGAACTGTGGAACAACGCAGGTGCTGCTAAGTGGCTACATCATCAGAAAGCCAGTCTTCCAGATTGCCGGGTTGGGAGAATCGGCGTGCTTCTTCTGTCAAGTCCAGGGTGGCCTGTAGTCCTGCTTTGGAGGTCGATCGTTGGCATCCTGGCGATGTGAGCGCGACTTTCAGCAGTTTTTCCGTTTCGCGGGACTTGTCTCTGAAGGATTCCCTGGGCTGGCCGAAGGCCAAAGAGGGTCATGTGTGGCATGTGTGGCGTTCTGAAGAATCTGCAAGCTTCCGTCTGGAGGTTAAGGCAGGATGTAGGGTGAGCCATCCCCAGATAACCTTTGGATACACTCGCGTGACGAAGTGCTCGACTGTAGGTGAGCAGCTTGAAGTTGAGCGGGTCAATACAGCCAATTGTCAGCGAAACCCCTTCAGCTGCCGCCAAATGGCGCCCGCTTCAAACCATGCCATGGCCCGTGGATTCAGGGAGGGTTTGTTCAGTGGCATTTGTGGCATGGGGAGGTCCGGGTGGCTGGAGGTTGTGACTATCTCAGCGTTGACCAACCCACAAGATGTTGGCTTTCTTTGCAGTTTGTTTGCTGCAGTGCAAAGCTCCTGAAGTGAGTTGCAAAACGGACAACTGCAATGCAGGGGGCGCCTTCGCTCTTGTCTGATCTTGTGTGCCAAGGTAGAACGATCTTCTTGACATGCGGGCGTCTCACTAGTTCCAGCCCTCAAGCCCGAACCGCTTGGTCTGCCTTAAGTCCCGTAACCTACCATGGGCCCTAGGCCCTAAGCGCTCGATCTAGCGCAAAAGTCGAAAGCTCTGACACTGAGCCCCACACTCCCTAATTCCGAGCAAGGTTTTCGGGGGGTCCGGCTTTATGGACCTTTTAACATCAGAACCTGCTTGCGTTGCACTGTTTGGTCGGGAACGGACACACCCATCCCTGCAGTTCCAGCAAATTTTGCTGATGTTTTGCTATCTTGCACAAGTAGTCACGAAGTAGTCTGGCAAGGGCGTCAAATTGGGGTTTCAGTGCATCGTCGAAAGCCTATGGAATCGGTACCCTGCGCTAGGGCTCATGTGCATTCTGTTTTGGTTTTGCTTGTTTTTCTGCTATGTTGCAAAAGTAGCCTGGCAAGGGCGATTAGCCGTGGGTGGCCTTTTGCATGCAGCATGGGTTGCCTTTTGCATTTTGGGGTGCGTCGCCTTTTGCCCGCGTGGGCCATTTTAGGGAATGACTCACAGCTCGTGCCCCAGCTGTGGGGTTTGCTTGGAGTGTTGGGTAAGGGTGCTCTCGAGGCTCGGAGAGGTGACATCAACAAGTCCAGGGGCTGGGATTCATGGCGCCGTCCTACTTCCAATGAAGAAGCCCTTGCTTACACTGAGTGCCTCGTCTGTGCGGCGCAGGGTGAGCTTCTTTATCCTCCAGGCAGCCAGGCCTGGGCGGAGGGGACCTCGAGTGCTCTAGAGTTTTCTCGAGTGCTTTGGGCGCTGCTAATTTTTGGGCCACCGTTTAGGTTCTCGTTTCGTTGGACTTGTTCAGGATTTCTCGCATTTGTCAGGAAGCAGAAAATCCTCAAAGACATCCCAAATTCTTGCCGGAATGGCCAAGACTGGATTCCGACTGGTCACCAATGGTCAGTTTTGTTGTTACTCGTTGATGACAGACCCTGCAGCGCTGACCCTGATCCCAAGTAAGGATAACAACAAATCCACATTAGATGTGGTCCCCAGTTTTCCAGGAAGGAGTTGTGTAGGGACACTTGTGGTAGCCTGGTAGACAGGCAACAGCACCGTATGTTCGCCTACACCCAAATAGGCTTCACATCCCCGACAGCCGTGGGTGCTGCAGGAGACGCTCGTGCGTCTGCAGGACCTGGCTGAAGAGGTGCATACTTGGAAGCGCTTTTGGGGTCGAGATAGCTGGAGGCTTCTTGTCGGATGCTTTCTAAAATTACCCATGCCCTCTTCAAACCCAGAAGCTATAAGCCTATCACAGCTTGAACAGTTTCAAACCGTTGTGGGCTTAAGGGGACTTTTGGGCCTCTAGGGGCAGGAGGATATTAGTGCTTTGGGCATGGGCACAAATGTTCCCAACAAAGTTCTCTGCTGCTCTTCCCTGCCAGCTTCCCAGCACCTCGCCGAAAGCTGTAACCAGTGAGCCTTACTCTTCCTCTCCTTCACATTCACCTGGACTCTGTGTTTGTGAGTGGACATTCATGACGTCGAGGGCCTCGATGCTGCGGGCAGCGTGCTGCGACATCGGGGTGTCGCGGTGCTCAGGCTCGGGCTCCGAGAGGGCACAGTCGATCGATTTCCGGGTTTAGGGCTTTGGGATGCTTAGGGATGCTTAGGATTTAGGATTTCGGGGCAGGGATGGCTTGAGGCAGTGACCCAGGTGAAGTCTCAAGCCTTGAGGCTTCAGGGTGCTCTTCTCGGCCTTGACCGCTGCTGAATATCGAGCTTAGGCCCTTTGTAGCCGAAATTACGAGACATTTGGCCTGCACATTGGCCTGCACATGTCTGAGCATCTCGTAAACGCCATGAACTCTTCCTCGGCTCATTGCAGGCCGGGCCTTGCCGCTGACGACGTAGTGGGCAAGGCATGGAGACGCCATGCCTCCTGACTCCTGAGACCCCCTTCACCACCAAAAGGACCCCAAGGGCCCCATAAGGGCTCAAACATTTCCATGCTGTGTGCCAGTGCAACCGATGTCGGAGATTGGCTGTCAGATCTTTCGCTACTGTCGCATGTCCCGTGAAGTTGCAGGGACTTCCATGCCCCAAGTTGGAGAGGTGGCTCTTCATGAAAGCTTGTCCCAGCTTAGAGAGGTCGGCTTTGCATGGCCCCGAGGTCTCGCGCACCCGCATGCGAATCGGCCGAAGTGTTCAACATCTTTATTGCTCCCTAATTTTGTCACCTTCCAACAGCTCCGTCGGACGTGAAGCCTTTTGCACATCTGCCTGACCGAAAAGCCTTGACATTCCTGCAAGGCTGTACAGCCCTTTCATTCCTAGTTAGCCGCGCAGCCGCTCCATGCAGCCAGGACTTCCTGAGGCGCGAACTGCAGCGCGATGATGTGACGAGCGTCCTTGGCCCGGTGAACTGCCAAACTGAATCCTGGACCAAACTTCCCAAACCCTTGCCCCTAACGACCTGGTGAGCCGAGAGCACAAGTTCAAAGCGCAGATTCATGAGCGGTGGCGCAGCCCATGCAGGGTCAAGAGCCAAGCCATGTCAAGCCTATTTCAAGCCTGATCTCTTGCAGGATGAGATAGGATGAGTTTGAGAGAGCCACAGAAAGAGCCACCTCCAGAGATGTCCACGGCACCAGGCCATGTCACGGCTGCTCCGGCCGGACTCGCGGCTTTTCACGCGGCTTGGGCACGCGGCTTGGGCATGCGGGACAGACGGGGTTTTGCCGGTCTTGCCTGAAGCCACAGGGCGTGAGGAGGATGAGGGGTATGGAGATGTGAAGGAAGTTCCGGCCCATGGGTCTCAGAAACCGCGCAGGGGCGTTGTCCGATCATGGGGGGCGGTCGATTCTTTCACATGGGGGTTTACGATATTGGGGGTACCTTATTTGGGGGTCTATTTTGGGCATGATGAACTTTTGAGGAGTGTGACTTGCAGAACACGAGGTTTGGATCGGCTTGGTGCGGCGAATTCCGGACAAGGCGATTCCTTGAAGATCATGAATCATGACTCTTTGATCTTCGTATTCCAGCTTTTCTTTGCTGGGCTGTCTCACTTGATGATCTTCATCTTAGAGTCTTAGAGCTATCAATTTCATGAATATTTCGTGCGCTATGAAATGGCGCTAGCTGCTGCCGGCCACGTTGTCACTGTTCGAGCCATTTCGAGTCCCTGAGTTTGCCAACCAGGCGTTCATCTCCACGCGAGCAGGGTCAGGCCAGATCCCTACACTGTACACGTTTTACATTTTTGAGCCTAGTTTTTTGAGCTCGGTGTTGAGGGAGGTGTGAGAGCTTGGCCATTCAAGTGCCTTTGCAAGAAGGTTACTAGATCCAGGCGAATGACTCCACACGACATAAAGAGCCAGTCGTGTGTGAACAAGATCTCCGCAGCTGCTTCAAGGAGCCACCCCCGTGGGCTTCGCTGCCTACGCCGGGCAGCGCTTGGAAGCCCAGGGCAGTTTAGGTTTAGGGGTTTAGGGGTTTAGGGTTTAGGGTTTAGGGTTTAGGGTTTAGGGTTTAGGGTTTAGGGTTTAGGGTTTAGGGTTTAGGGCTTCTGGCTCACGAATTTGTGCTGCCCAAACATGTCAGAAGATAGGTTGCATCTGGGCCTTTGATCAATGGGATGATGGGCAAAACGATGCATGCCTTAGTGGTCAAGGACTCAAGAAGTCTTGGTCGATCATGGGTCTCAAGGTGTGTTGATTTGTGTCAAGGTGTGTGCATTTGTGTCACGCACCCAAGTCTCTTGGCACAACCTCTGTCTCTAGGAGCTAGTCTGTTGAGCGTGCCAGCGGTAGACCGGAGTGAGGTTTGCAGTGGACCCAGTTGAGACAAACCTTCGCGTCAAGGTCTCCATGCTTTGGTTGCGGCTGTTGCGATATGTGCCCTGGCTGGGGCGCGTGCTGAAGGCTTCCCTGCGCATTCTGGGGCCTTGGGGAACCTGTTGTTGGCAGGGCCGCTCGACATTCAACATGCGCTTGTTCGATTGTTTGACTCGGTTTGAACTTGACAACCAGTTTGCAGCTGGACATGGTCCTTTGTTCGACATTCCCCTGACACAAGGATGCTAGTTGACCGGTTTTTGGATACTTCGTTGAGGGCATGCGCAATCTGTGTGCTGGCATTGGCTACCAGGACGAAGAATGTAGTACAGGGGCTTCGCTTGCAAAAGCCGATTGCATCTGAGTGGAACCGTATGAACCATTTAGCCTCCAACGCTCCTCCCGAGGCCAAGCTTCAAACTCGATCAAAGACCTTGCTTCACCCTACCGATTTCACCTACTTCGGTCTTGCCGTGAATCTGGACGATCCATGCTCCTGCCACTCATGGCCTGACTGGGCGCCTCCGGCGCGATGCTGGAAGAGCCGCTGCCATATCGAACAAGCCAGGAGGTTTGGCAAGGGTCTTGTCAATATCGCCATTTGGGAAATGGACTTCCGACATTCAAATCGGGCGCGATTTCCCATGTGAATGTGACTGAAGCCTCCACGAGCAGAGCCCCATGAGAGAAAGAATTCCGTGGTCTTAAGCTCAACTCTCTTTCAGCGCTGTGTTGGTACAGAGCTGAACAGACCTATATGGTGCCCCGGTGTTGTACTTCCCTGGGGCTCTCTCTGCAGTTCTGTGCAAGTGAATTTGCAGCTGTACAGGCTGTGCAACGCTACCACGGCCGCGTCCAGCAACTCAACAGTGATGGCTCCGGGCGTTGAGCTCAGCTCGGGTGAAGCCGAAGCCAGTGAAGCCAGTGGCGTACAATTCTTGGATGAAGGTATATTCAGGTATATGAAGGTAGAACAAGGTCAAGAAGAAAGTTGCGTGATACTACCTTTGGCTTCCAGGTGTATCAGCTTGGAAGAGAGTTTCCTCGGTCTCGACCATGCCTTCTTTGTTTTGGAGGTGCGGGTGCATAGCCACATGTGGCTAGTATGCACGGCCCCACATCATCTCATCACATCCCTCTCTAAGCGCGGGATTTAAGTCTGAGCCCTGGAATGGCCACTCATTTTTAGTAGGCCCTCAGCCCTCACAGGTCTCGCATTTTGAGCTTCCATTCCTTTTTTCGGAGGATGTGCGTCTTCGATCCAAGCCCGTCATGGGAATGCGCGTCTCCTTCTCACTGGCCATCGATCCGGAGCCTTGGAAAGGTTTGCGTGCTAGAAGCTTGCGGAGCTTGATGCCGGTCTTGTGTCGGAAGTGAATGTGTAGCTGTTTGATTGCACTCCAATTGAGCCCTATGCTCCAGCAATCTGCCCCAAACCGCACCCTTGTGGCCCTGAGGAAGAGCTATGCTTGTGCGCGGGCGCAGTGGGTGGGGCAGAAAGGGCACGAAGCCGCAGCAGGAGCCGTGAGGAGAGCGGGGGGCTTGTGAGAAATGCGGGCCATGAGGGAGTTGAAGTAGGAGCAGGAGTTGACTAAGGTCTAGGTCATGACGGCTGTTTCGGCGCCTTTTTTGCGCCCTAAAGCCTCAAACATCATCTATTGGGCCTCGGAGCCTTCAGCCTTCACGCGCCTTTCTCCACAAGTTTGGGTCGAACGCACACTGCTGCCTCTTCTGAATTACTTGAATTGCAGACGTCAGAGACTGTGTGTCAGACACACCCCACCTACTAGTGACTACTAGTGTAGTGGCCCCGACTTGGATCTTTCCCTGGAGGACCGCCGAGCGCCCTTGCAGCGGAAGCCACAAACAGTCCCGCCGCGCGTTTTTGCTAACGGCCACTCGAGGAGCATGCAGGGGTTTCGAGACACAAGGTGATGGCTTCGATGGCTTTATCCCGTTAGTTACCTTGTAAGATCAGACAACAGACTCAGAAGACTGAGATTATGACGGGGATCTTCCAGGGCCGTTCTGACGTGCAGGATGCCTGGCTCGGATTCAGAGCTGCCCGAGACTGCAAAGACGCTCAGAGACAACTGCTGTGTCGGTAGAATTTCTTCCGAACTTCTTGGGCATTGGTCCGTCCTGGTAGCATCCGCAGCCCAGCAAAGCAAGAAACCCAAGATATCCTCAATGTTGAGGTTGCTAGGACTGCTAGGAACGAGACTTAGCCTCATTGGCGATTTGCAGCCCTAGGATGCTCGAAGCCGAGCGCCTCTGCGTGTCGGGTGCAAGGCGCCCGCCAGCGCAGTCGCGGAGTCTTAGAGTCCGAGAGTCTAAGGCCCAAGAGCAATGTAAAGCAACCACAGCCATGAACCATCGCTCTTAGAAACACTTCAAAGTACCATTCCTCAGCCACCTGTACTACCTTGACACCCAACGCCTGGTTTGTTGGTCTTTGAGTCCAAGTTCCTATAGAACTCCAACCATGGGTCTAGGCACTTCATCACGCTTCAGATGTAGATAAAAGAGCGACCAGGCGCCTGCAATCACATCTGCTGAAGACCGGAACTCTGCTCAAAGACTGCAAACATCGGCTGCCATCAAATGTGAGTTGCACTCGTGCCCCGGGATGTGGTGCATGACAATTGGGCCTCCCCTTTTAAGCCCACCAAAAGGGTACCCTCCTATTTTCGGAAACTCCCAACTATGCCCTCAGCCCAGCAGCAGGCACGAAGAATCTCTGTCGGACGAGTTCGGGTGCCTTATCTTGCAATGCCGGGTTCTTTAGGTGCCCACTGTGCCACTGTCGTGCATGGCCAGCTTTTCACATCGTGGTAGTTGAGGTTGGACGAACTCAAGGCAGAAGACGACGACGAGACGAGCCTTGGCTCACTCAGGGTGTCCAAATTCATCCCTACATTCCCCAAAGCCATCCCAAAGCCCAAACCTTAAACCATGCTTTCGATCAAAACCAAACTTGAAGCTGGACTTGCTCTCCACCAAGTCATGCCAAGTCACATGGAACTCCACTCCTCAACTCATCTCAACTCCCTCATCTTCAGGTTGCTGGAGGCTGAAGATGACCTGCTGCCACTTGCCTCTGGCAGTCATACACTGTCCATGCAGGATGGATGTGGAGTGTGTCAGGTTAATGGTCAGTCCAAGGTAGAGTCTCAAGACTCACTCAATGACCTCATGGATGGGTATGCTGTCCGGTATCAGCAGACACGGTTTTTTTTTCAGCGAGTTCTCATCTGACATCTGCTGAGAAACGCAGCCCGAACCAAAGTTTTTACGATGCTCTTCTGCGACCCAGGGATGAGTCGCCGGCACGAGCTACGCCCCTCGGCCCCAGGTCTCTTTCCTTGGAGCCCTCAGCATGTGAAGCTGAGCCCTTGGTGCTCAAATACGATCCCCTCGCCCTAAGCCCACTCCTAGCCACTCCTAGCCTTTCCTTCTGCTGGACAGGCTTTTAAATGCCTCTACAACTCATTTCTCGCTGCCAAGAAGATATCCAGCAAGTGCTTTGTGCAAGCGGCCCAAGCGCCAAGGGGCTCGGATACACCTGACGGGGACAAGGCTTGAGCGGCATCGGTCTTTTGAAGTGTTTGCTTTGAAGTGTTTTCTGGGACTTTATGCTTTGCCCGCTTGACCCAACAACCCGCCATCCTGAATTTTGAAAGCCTGTGGAAGGAGGAGGACCAGGACAGGGGGCCCGGCCTAGAAGACGACCTCCGAGAGCACCTGCGGCAAGAGCAGCGGAGGCTGCTCGGTGGGTTCGCTTAGCTTTCGGACGTTTAGGACCTGAACCTCGGAGTTATCTTTTGGGATATCTGCGGCGTCTATACAGCTGGTTGCCGATGAGCTCGCGACAGTAGGGCGCAGATTGGGCCTGTGGACTTGGCTGCGCCTAGCTGAGTCAGCCAGGACGTCCAGCAGCCGCTTTCGCAAGAAGCTGGTGGCCTTCAAGATGTGGACCGAAAAGTTTCTTGTAGCGATGGGCCGAGTGCAGTTGCAGAAGTCACACAGAAGTAGGATCAGGAGTCGCCAGAAATCTGCAATTACAAAACTTACTCTGCAACTTCCACCTCTTCCCGCAGTTCCCTCACGTACCTGCAAGCCTAATTGCCAAGAAGTCAGCAGGACGGGGAGCATCTTCAACTGGTTCCCCGAGTCGGAGGAGGGATGGCCCCCGGCTTGCAAGGGAGCGCCACAGGCGAAGGGATAGTCGTCTGGGCTTCAGCAGTCTGGGAGTCTAGTTCTCGCAGAGTCTAGCATGATCATGTTTCACGTCGACTGATTTGGGAAGCTGTTGCTGGAGCGCTCTGCCTCTGCGCGTGCCAAGGATATTGCCTGATGAGGAGATCAGACATGAATGTGCTGCCCCAAGACCCGTGTCGTTGCCGGCTTGGCACTTGCCGTTCAGAGAATGCTTTCCGGACTCATCTGGGCTCCCTGTCGAACCCTTAGGTCTAGCAACCTCTGGCCTCGTGTGGTTTTCCCACGACCACACGGAGGCAGACCTCCCTGAATTTGCCGATGGACGACGCGTGCAGTTCCTGGTGCAACTTGGATGCTGTACGTTGAGGGTTTTTTTTAACGGGACGCCTTGTCTGTTCCTTTCTGCTTTTGCCAAATGTGAGGCAACCTGGGTCAGCACGTGCTATCTAGACATCAGAATGCTCCCTGTCAGCTTGCAGCATCGAGCATCTTTGAAGAAGGTACGAGCAGAATGGAAGCTTGGGTGCCATTTTCGTGCCTCGGAGGCATGATGGCCAACTTTGCAAACAAGACAGTCCCCACTACGCATACGTTTGTATGGAAAGGTTGGAACTGAGGCTGGAAGGCCGCGTCCAAGACTCCTCACCCCAAAACCCCACCCAATCTCCCTCTCCCCGCCCCGCCACAGCTTGTTGCGGGTGTCGTGAATTCATGACCCGCGTGGTTTGCCCATCCCTCCGAGCCTGCGAAGCTACCAGGAATCTCCCCAGGCCCAAGACCCCAGCTACGCCCTCCCCTTTGCTTTTGAGTTAGTTGTACCTTTGTCGACCAAAACAAGATGCAGCCATGATCTGCAGAAGGCTCTC